TCTAAGCCTTATTTACAGGTGAGGAAACTGAGACCAACAAGCAGAGAAATAACTTGCCCAAGGCCACCCACTGGTAAGACACTCTTATTCACGAAGGATGCAAAGTATTTTTTTAATTTTTTTTTTATAGAGGCATGTTTTATTTATTTGTTTGTTTGTTTGTTTTGTTTATACATGCAATGGGTACAGTCAGAAGCACGGGAGGGTGAGAGAATTCACCAGAGCCAGAGCGGGGAGCAGAACAGGCAGAAGGACCGAAGTACACTGCTGAGGGGAGCAGCGGGCGGCAGGAGAGGTCTGTGCGCCATGTGGGACCCTCCTCCGGTGGTGGCCGGGGAGCAGCCAGGGATCGAACCGGCGCCGCGGACGCCGCGGGCAGCTTCGCAACCCAGCGCTCAACCACTGCGCCACCGGGGAGGCCCAGGATGCAAAGTATTTTTTCTCCCCTCCTGTGGGTTGTCATTTCACTGGTGATTATGTGTTTCCTGGTGGCTTTCCTGCTTCATGGGGACATGAACCAGATCTGTTCTATTCACCCAGTTCAAAGTCTGGCAAATGGAGTTCTCTAAGTCATTTAAATGAGTGAATACATGCTGCCTGTTACGCTGAGCCTACAAAGCTATTTTCCCTGCTGTAGAAGAGCCAGGCAGAGGCCATGGAGATGACCACACCGACGCCAGCTTTTGTCCAGGAGGCATCTGAGAACTGTGTCCTTCCAGTGCTGAGTCTAGCACCATCTAGCCTTCAAGGTTGTAACTCACTCAATGGGAAACTTATATTTTCTTCTAAATCTTCTTATTTCTACTTCAAGCCCAAGTTGTCAGTCACTCACTGAGTTCTGTCCACAGAGGAGCGAGATCTTCCAGCTTCATCAGCTAAGTACCCTGGGACAGCTGACCAGAGGGCTGGGCTGTAGTGCTAATCTTCATTTACTCTCTTTCACTCTGATTTTCCCCCTATAGTTTCTCCTTCAACCCACAGACTAAAATATTTTCCTGAACTCTTCTAATTCTTCCCTTCACATCATGCTGCCCTCTTCCTCCTAAACCTTTCCTCTCCTTTTTCAGTCATTATTTCCTTAATCATTGTAATTAAATACAGCCGTTTTAAAGTCATCCACACTGTTCTATTATCTCAAGTTTTGGAGACTGAAATCCTCCCGTTTGTGTTATATGCTGTTACTCTTGGTAGCTCTGTTTCTACTGTGTTTTTTAATTTTTGATTGAGCTAAAGTTGGGGACTTTTTTCCCCTCATGCTGGCCCAAGGGGCCTGGTTTTGAAATTTCCCACCAGTTACCTTTGTTTCTGCTGAGACTATCCACCCACCACTACTCAATTTACCCCACTGTGGGCAATTTAAGAATTTCCAAGTTTGAACAGTTTCTCAATGCTCACTTTTAAAATACACATAGCATCGAATTTACTACATTAACTATTTTTATGTGTTTACTTCAATGGCAGTAAATACATCTATGTCATAGATTTGTGCGACCATCACCACCATCCATTTCCAGAAGTTTTTCATCTTCCCAAACTGAAACACTGTACTTATTAAAAGTAACTCATTTCCCTTTCCTCTAAGCCCTGGAAACTATGATTCTACTTCCTGTCTCTATGAGTTTGACAGTATAAGTGGAATTATACCCGTATACAACATTTGTCCTTTTGTGTCTGGTTTATTTCACTTAGCATAATTCCTGTTGTAGCATTGCCAGGATTTCCTTCCTTTTTCATGGTGAAATAACATTCTGTTGTATGTATGTACCACATTTCTTATCCACTCATTTATTGACGAGCACTTGGATTGTTTCCAACTTTTGGCTGTTGTGAATGGTACCATTATCAACATTAACATACAACTACCTGTTCAAATCACTAAATTAAATTATGTGGGGTATATACTCAGAAGTGGAATTGCTGGATCATAATTCTATTAATTTTTTTGAGAAACTACCATACCATGTTCAACAGCAGCTGCACCATTTTACATTCCAGCAATACTGTACAAAGCTTCCAATTTCACTATGTCCCTACCAACACATGCTGTTTTCTGGTGTTTGTTTTTTGGGGTTGTTTTTGTTTTGTCTTTTTAATAGTTATCCTAAGGGTGTGAAGTGATAAATACCTTATAGTGGCTTTGATTTGCATTCCTTTAGTGACTTGTTAGATTGAATATTTTTTCATGTACTTTTTGGCCACTTGTGTATCTTTGGAGAAATGCCTATTCAAGTGCTTTACCCATTTTTTAAATCAGGTTCTTTGGGGGTTTGCTGTTGAGTTGTAGGGGTTCTTCTTTTATATTCTGGAGATTAAATTCTCATCAGATATATAATTTGAAAATATATCCTCCCCTCTCCCCATTTCATGAGTTGATTTTTTTACTTGTGATTATGTCCTTTGAAACACAAAATGTTTTAATGTTAATTAAGTCAACTTTTTCTGTGTTTTCTTTTGTTGTTTATGCTTTGGTATCCTACCTAATACATATTTTCCAAATTCAATGTCATAAAGTTTCCCCACTACTTATGTTTTCTTCTAAGGATTTTGTAGTTTTAACTTATATGCAGAGGCCTTTGATACACTTTGAGTTAATTTGTGTATATGGTCAAGAGGTCCAACTTCATTCTTTTAGCTTCTTCAACTTGTTGAAAAGATTGCCCTTCCCCCATTAAATGGCTTTGGCACACTTGGCAAAAACATTGTATATTTAATTAAATATACAAGAGTTGGGCCTCCCTGGTGACGCAAGAGGTTAAGATGCAATCTATGAAGTTATCTGCAGCCTCTGCAGCACGAGTTTGATCCCTGGCCAGCCAGAGAGCAGCCCACATGGTGCAGCAGACCTCTCTTGACTTGCCCACTGCTCCCCTCAGCAGTGCATTTCAGTCAATCCACCTGTTCTGTGCCCCACTCTGTCTCTGGTGAATCCTCTCACCCCCTACACTTCTGGCCTGTATCCCAGCTCTTGTATGCATAAATAAATAAACCTTTAAAAGAATAAATATACAAGAGTTTATTTCTGTGCTCTGTATACTATTCCATTTTCTGTCTTTATTGAAATACCACACTTTTTTGATTACTATTGCTTTGTAGTAGTTTTGAAATCAGGAAGTACGAAATCTTCAACTTTGTATTTTCCAAGATTGTTTTGGCTATTTGCAGCCTTCTGAGATTTCATGTAAATTTTTGGAATTGATTTTTTAATGTTTGCAAAATATCTTCATTGGGATTTTGAAAGAATCTGTAAATTGCTCCAAGACTTCTGATCCATGAACATAGGATGTTTTTCCATTTAGTTTAAATTTCTTTCTTCTTTAATTTTGTAGTTTTTAATATGCAAGTCTTTTACCTCCTTGATTAAATTTACACCTAAGTATTTTATTTTTCTTGTTGTTATTTAAATGGAATTGTTTTCTTAACTTCCGTTTGGGGTGCTCATGGTTAATATATAAAAATATACCTTGGTTTTGTGTGTTGATTTTGGATGTTGCTGAATTTTTTAATTAGTTCTCATGGGGCTTTTTGTTATTGTTACAGGTTTGGCTTCAGTGTGTGCGTGTGTATAATTCATTTGTTTTTGTTTTTGCTTTTTTTTTTTTTTTTAACCCAGAGACCTGAACAGGAGCAATTTGGTTGCCATTACCCAAAAACAGAAAGCTTTTTCTAGGTTCCCATTCATTGAGTGCAGACATGAAGGATCTAAGCTAAACTCAAGAGTCCTGGGTGATTTCGTTGTTATTGCTGTTTTTTAAAGATTTTATTTATTTATGCATGCATGCATGCAAGAGCTGGGGTTTAGGCCAGAGGCGCTGGGTGGAGGGAGGCAAGAGTATTCAGCAGAGACAGAGTGGGAAGCAGAGCAGGCAGATTGACTGAAATACACTGTTGAGTGGAGCAGTGGGAGAGACAGGAGAGGTCTGCTGTGCCATCTGGGTTAGCTCCCTGGCCAGGGATCAAACTCGTGCTGTAGATACCTTCATAGTGCTGAGACTTAGCCCATTTCGCCACCAGGGAGGCCCAAGAGTCCTGGTTTGACTTTCCTGCTGAGGGTTAAGCCCTCAGTCTCTGCCCCTGCATGTCACTACAACATGCTTGACCATTTCAATACCCTCCCCTTAGAGATCCTGTTGTATCAGCTCACTCACTCCTTTGCTTTTCTGTTCACTCTCTCTTTCTACATATTCAGAGCAGGAATAGTCCCAGCATCCTACTTCCAAATGAACAAGCACATGCATTCATAAGAGGCCACAAGGAAGCCAAAGTTTTATCCACCGTGACAAGCCCTATATTAGTATACAGCTGGAGTAAGAAGTACCTGGGTGCCTTCTCCATTAATCAGGAGTCCTACCTCCCTATGGGACTAGTAGCCAACCAAAGCCATTCCATGTAGGTGGTTATACCTACTGTCATCGAGGGCCTCCTATGTGCCAGATACTGTACTGGGTGCTTCACATACATTCAATCTCATTTAACCCTCCTTCCAACTTGATGAGAAAAGGGCTATTTTTGTCACTGGTTCAATTGAGAAAACTGCCAAAAACATAGCTAGCAAAAGAACCAGAATTCAAAGTTAGGTAGGGCCCAATCTTTACCAAATATATCTTGCCTGCCTCCTTCCTCCAACAAGTCACCAGTAGCTTGCTCAGTCCTCTGGGGATAGGGTCCATGAGGTTTCCTTCCTCTTACTTGTCTTCAGCACCCAATAAGTGTGACTAGGGTGTCATGGCTCAGCAGAGGTTACAGTGACTTTGCCCCTAGAGGGACTGTCCACAACTCAGGAGGGACTGCAGATATCTTGGCCTGAGCCCCTGTTACCGAGAAAAAGGAGGGTTTTGCCAAAGACTCCAAGGGGAGATAAATGTTGGGAGTGGATCAACTCTGGTCGGGACCCAAGCACCCAGCCCTTCCCTGAGACATTGTGTGAGCCAGCCAGGCCTCCAGACACAGCTCCTCCCACCCGTCCCAGCCAGGGTGGTGCTTGTGTGGGAAGGACTTTAAATCCAGCTGCCAAACCCCTGGATGGGAGAGGCAGACAGGGCTGGCCACCATGCACAGCTCCCACAATCTCCTGGCACTTCTGCCACCACTGCTGCTACTGCTGGTGGCGGCCACAGGCCCTGCCAGGGCCCTCACTGATGATGAGAAGCACGTGATGGTGGAGCTGCACAACCGCTACCGTGCCCAGGCTTCCCCATCGGCGTCCAACATGCTGCAAATGGTGAGTGGGTCCAGGGGCATTCACCTGCCAGGCTCGATGGGATGTTGGGCAGGGTCCTCCACCCACCCCTTCCATCCTCCAAGCTGCAGATATCTCAGAGTCTGACCTCTCGGATCAGTAAGAATCATAGCTCATAGGTTCTTCTGAGAACAGCAGCTCTATCATGCAAATGAGGAAACTGACACGGAGAGGAACTTACTGCTCCTTCAGAGGTCTGCAGGTCACATGACTGGCCCAGCCAGGCCTGGAGCCCCAAGCTTCTCACTCCAATGACCATTTCCTGGCACCTCCTAAAATGCATATGTCCCTGGGAGGGGGAACACACTTTGGCGAACCAGGTCTATCAGGTGCCTTCCAAGGCTATGAGAGGGGGAAGCAGACAGCAGGATGCGGGCTGCACTTGGGTAGGAGAGCGGCACTGAGGCATGGGGGATCACGGGAGCCACAGCAGAGCTCTGCATCACACGGTTCTAATTTTTTCTGGCTGCCTCAAGACCCGTGATTTGGGGTGAGTTCCAAAGACCCTCAGTTTCAGAGCTGTAAGATGGGGTCATAACGATAACTACATATATATCAACATGGATAGGCTCAATGGATGGAAATGAAATCCAAAAAGCATATATACTATTGGGGATTTTCACATGAAGCTTTAAAACATGTCAAAAATATGATTGTATAGTGGTGGGGGGCACATGTGGACAGATTGAACATACGTGGACATGCCTACAGATGACAGAAGCCAGATTTGGGCAGTAGTTACCCATCAGAGGCGTGCCCCGGGAGGTTGATGGACAGTGTCCAGGAACCCTGCAGCTGATGCCAGAGGGCAAGGTTGTACCTGGGGACACAACACTGAGTTTGGGGTCTAAAACAGGAGTTCTAACAGCTGTGTCCAATCTGGCAAAAAGTTTGGGGGTGGAAGTAGGGAGAAGTCCTTTGCCTTCAAAGGCCTCCACTTCCTGATCTGTCTCCCAGGACTGGCACTTCCTCCCCTGAGACAGAATGGCACAGGGGAAAGATCTAGAAAGGGCTCTACAAACACACACAGCACCACCATTCAAGACTCATTAGCCTTGGCAACCAAGAACAACAGTAATATACCAGGAGCCCTGGGTGCTGGCCCCAGCTCTGCCAACAGCTCACAGTTCAAGGCCTAGAACTCATTGTTGACCCTCAGTTTCCCCATCTGTAGATCCTTGATGCCACAATCTTGCTGCCTGAACCTGGGGGCTATCCAAGTTGGTAGCTGCTTTGTGGACAGACGTGGAACTTGAGGCTGGGGTAACGTTCTCAGAAACACTTTGGATATTGAGGGGATATGCTGCTGTCTGGTGGGAAGTGATGGAGGAGGTGGTGGAAATAAGGGTGGTCTAGGACACCAGTCTAAATTTGGGACAAGGTCAGGTACAGCTTCAGCAGTGGTAAATGCAGACTTTGGAGTCAGATGGTCTAAGTTCAAATCTCTACCTGCCCATTTAATAGCTGTGTGACCTCAGTGAAGTAACTTAACCTCTCTGTGCCTCAGCTTCCTCATCAGTAAATTGGGGTTAGTAACAACTCCCTTTTAGGATGGTTGTAGAGTTACGTGAGTAGACAGGTGTAAAGCACTTAGAATAGTGTCTGGCACACAGTAAGTGCTCAATAAATGCTTGATTAACAAAAGGGAATGGCAGGTGGGAGTTATCATGGACTCCTCTCTCCATCAGCCTCCACATCTAACCTTTACTTGAAGTTCAAATTTTCCTTGACTCCCACCCCCCAACCCCTTTGGCACAACCCTGGTTCAGTCTTTCATTTCTTCTCCCAGAGACTCCTAGAACAGCCTCTGCCTGCTTGCCCAGCCTCTGCCCTCTGCTCCCAAATGGATAGTTCAAGGCACAGGCCTAACACTGCTCAAAACCATCAACAACTCCTGTTGCCTCCCTCCTGCCTCAGGACAAAGCTCCAGCTCCTAAGAAGGCTCTGGCTCTACCTACCTCTCCAGTCCTTCTCTCCTGCTCATTTTCTCCTTCAGTACCCTGAACAGCTTATCTCCATTCCCCCAGACAAAACATTGATTCTCACCTCCGTGCCTTTGCTCATGCTGTGCCTTCTCCTCAGGATGCCTTTCCTCACTCCACCTCACCAATGCCTCATCTTTCAATATTTAGCTTAGTGTCGCCTTCACCCACACTTGGGCAAAATGACCCCCTTTGGTGCCTCTGTACCACTGCATATCATTCATCACATGGTGAGCCAATTCATCTTGGTCTTCTTGGTCCTCGCTGTCACTCAAGGGCTTGTTTGGTGCCCGGGATTGTCTACTAAATGAATGGTGCATAAATGAATGAATGGACTTGCTTTCAGATGGCGATCACGTGGCCCATGTGGGTGGGTACTGTGAAATTCCGCGGGGTCTCAGGACCACTGAGAAGCCCTACGACCCAAAGAAATCACTGGTGGGACTCCAGGCAGCTAGTGAAACTGGAAATTACAGCCGGGCGCAGTAGGGGAGACTGCTCTACTCAGGGCCCTGTCTCAGTCACCAACAGTTAAGCAAATGTCTGGTTAGCACCCGCCATGTGCAAAATAACAGCCTGTGCCAGACACGGGGGCTACATTACCGCCTGCTCTGAGGGAGCATGCAGGTTAGTCTGGTCCCCAGCACTCCCCCAATTCCTGTCTTCAACTGCTGTCAGAGTTTGAGAGAACCTTAGGGACCAGTGATTTGGGGCAAAAATATTGAGGAAAGGGATTCACCCAAAGTCACAGCAGTGGGGCTATCCCTGCCCAGTGCTCCTGGCCACTCCAGACAGCTGTTTCTGAGAACCTTGTGTAGGTGGGGAGTGGTTGTGGCCACAGGGTCACCCCAGCTCTTGGCACTTTATGGGACTGTCTGTCTCCTGCAGCTGGCTGGGCCCCCAGAGGGTGGAGCAAGAGTTGCTGCCAGACTATCCATTTCCAAGAGGGGGCCAAGGACAAAGTTAATGGGATCCAGGCCTCCCTCCTCAGTCCTCAGTCCTCTGGTCAGATGCCTTGTTAATCCCTCTTCCCACCCACACTGGATCTGTCCTCCCAGCCAGGGACACAGAACCTCAGAGGCCTGCTGAGAATGCTTCCTCCCGCTGTCTCACCTGAGGTGTTCGCTGGAGAACACTGCTTTGGGATCTGACAGCCTTTTGGGCCACCAAGGCCCTGAAAATATACCTCTCAGTAAGGGTCAAACAGACACACCAATTTTCTGGGGGAAACAAGTTGTCAATCAGCAAGAGCTGAGAACGCTTGGGAAGGGAGGAGGCTGGGCTATCCCAAAGGGAGAGAGGGTAGCTGAGAGGGGAGTGCTGGCCCCCAATTCAGATTTATGGTGGTGGGAAGGGAAGAGGAGGGAAGTGACTGAATAACCAGCCCTTGAACACCTCACTGGACACCTTGTCTTCAGAGTTCAGAGAGGGGCCTAATTGCCCACCTTTCACACAGAAGGATGTGAATATTAACCAAGAATCACTCTGTGGCAAACACTGTCTCATTCATCATCTCTTTCCAAGGCCTAACCCAGAAAGGTTAGGCAATCTGTGCAAATCGCACAGGCGAGCTGTGCAAGTTCCACTAAGTCCACGGCCTGGGAAGGTGCCTTTCCACCTTCTCACCGAAGCTCACCAAGAGCAGAGACCTGCTCGAGATCATGGCAGAGTTGCCCGCTGGGGAGGGGTGGGCTTCCATCCTGGGATCCCCCCAGGATACCCTCCACCTTCTTTGATTCCTACAGAACTGTGGGCCTCCTCACCTCCCTCTCCCATGTCTCTCTCCCTCCTCCACCTCCATGGACCCCGAGCTGTCCTCACCTCTCACCCCGACCTGTCCTGCAGACGTGGGACGAGTCCCTGGCCGCCTTCGCCAAGGCCTACGCGAAGCAGTGCGTGTGGGGCCACAACAAGGAGCGTGGGCGGCGTGGGGAGAACCTGTTCGCCATCACCGACGAGGGTGTGGACGTGCCACTGGCCGTGGAGGAATGGCACCATGAGCGCGAGCACTACAACCTCAGCGCTGCCGCCTGCGACTCGGGCCAGATGTGCGGCCACTACACACAGGTGAGAGGCCAGTGCGCCAGCAGCAGGCCGACAGAGCAATGGGGGGGGGGCTCTCTCTTCACCTCAGGGGAGTACCCTAACAAGTTCTCTACAGTCCCTTCAGGAAAGTTGTCTTTACACAGCAATTAATGTGTTGTCTAGGTCTCTGACGAACTTTGCTTCTCAAATTGCCAAAATCATTGTCAGTTGAACCATAATCACTTGAAAACCTAGGAGGCCCCTCTGGGCCTTCTGGTACTGAAGAGACCTAAGTTAGGTGTCACAGAGCCAGTTTCCTGGGAGGAAGTTACAGCGCTTGGCAATCCTGGCCAAGCTCTAAGCAGTCCTGTCCAAAGGCCTAAATTATGTGGGGCCTGGTGCCCCAGCGGTAAATGCCCACACCACCCCAATTCATTTTCTCTCTGCCTCATCATATCTCATGGTGTCTAAGTGGCTGCTTCTAGCCTGCTCAGGACCAGCAGGTGGACAATTTTGCTTAATTTTTCTTTGCCTTTAAAAAACAATATGTGTGGGCCTCCCCGGTGGTACAGGCGGTTGAGCACAGCGCTCTGAGGCTGTCTGCAGCCTCTGTAGCACGGGTTCGATCCCAGCCAGCCAGTGAGGGTCCCACATGGTGCAGCAGATCTCTTCTGTTTCGCCCACTGCTCCCCTCAGCAGTGTATTTCATCGGTCTGCCTGTTCTGTTCCCCGCTTTGTCTCTGGTGAATCCTCTCACCCTCCCGTGCATCTGGCCTGTACCCCAGTTCTTGTATAAATAAATAAATCTTTAAAAACAATGTGTGAAATAACAGCAAATTGTGACTTAGTGAAGGTGTCAGGGAGACGTCCACTAACATTTTTGTCTCTCAAAGTCACTTTTGAGTGTGCAGGTAAGAGATGGTTGTGAGAGGGCAAGCGGAATTACCAATAGTGTCATTGAATTCTGTTTTTCCTCCTCCCAATACCTTGTCGGTGTTCAAACACAACATGACAATTTTTAGAAAAAGGAAAATAAACCAACCATCTTGCCACCCACATCCATCAATTCCACTGACTCTTTCAGGTGTATTTTTAGACCTAATCTTTAGGGAAGGAAATCCCAACATCACCCACCCAGATCAGGAAGTCAGAGCGCCCTGCACCCTCTGTACCCTGCCAGCTCTCACACTCCTCCCAACACATGCTACTGCAGGGAGTGCTGTCAGTGCCCGGCAGGACTGGCCTGCCCCATCGCCACACCAGCTGAGTGCATGTGCTCTCTGGGGTCATGTCTGTCAAAGAGATGATCAACAGCAGTACCTGGGGGACCCTCAGCTGATTTAGGTAGAAGGATCCCAGTCCTGGTTGTGTGTGTGTATGTGTGTGTGCATGTGTATGTGCATGAGCTTGAACAAAATTAACGGGTAAAGCTAGATCTCACAGCAAAAAGTGACCTTAATTTGAATGACAGACTGGACCTACAACTAGCAAGGAAAGGCTGCTAGTCCCAGCCTATTATGTTGCACGAAGGTTGCGTTACCTTTTTACAAGTTATATTTGACAGATCTCCTTCTAGTAACTATGAGAACCACCTTTACAAATTGCAAAACAGCGATTTGTGGGAAAGTTTCACTTCCAAAGTGGCTCCTCCTGTTCCTTTCCTTGGACTTTGTTGCTGACGACAAAGATTCTCCCATTAGAGATTCATTCCTTTGGCTACACCCTTATTTAAAATGCAAAGGCTTTGAAGAAGAACCCACAGAAAGAATTCATGAGGGTATATCAAAAGGGAAGACTTTCAGAGGGAGAGGGACTGGTGAAATAGTGAATATAGTTAGCAGGGAATGTAGAATGTACAAGCAAATTCCTGGTCCCATCGCACTCCTGACCCCCTGTTCAGAGTTTTGTCCTGGAGCTGCCTGTCCTCAAGACTTAGCTCTCACAGACTGCAGGGTTCCTCCACTTCCCATCCATAGAAGGCTGGTGTGGAGAGGCACTAAGGACGGGTCATCCCACCCAGGCTTAACTGTTGAGTTTGCCCTCCTTCAGGTGGTCTGGGCCAAGACGGAGAGGATTGGCTGTGGCTCCCACTTCTGTGAAAAGCTCCAAGGCGTTGAAGAAACCAATATCCACTTGCTGGTTTGCAATTATGAACCCCCGTGAGTGTGGCGGGAGCAGGGGGGCGGGAGGGCAGAGCCAAAAGGAGGACTGAGTTGGGCACAGTCTGAGGAAGCTGGCAGGGTCCAACCAGGGGCCCACACCCTGTCCCCTTTCCCGGGAGCGGTGAGAGCACCTGCGGGAGTCCGCTCGCATTGACCCAACAAGTTGCGGGGGGCCAGTCAGAGTCAGGGGCACTTCTGGACATTCATGTATCTTCGCCTCCTGCAGGGGGAACGTGAAGGGGCAGAGGCCCTACCTGGAGGGAACTCCGTGCTCCCAGTGCCCCTCCGGTTACCGCTGCGAGAACTCACTCTGCGGTGAGTCGGGGACCGGGCGGGGAAGCGCGGAGGGGCAGGAAGGGCCGCCGACTGGAAGGGCTAGATCCTCGCCGGCTCCGGAGCTGTGCGTGGCGCGGGGATTCCCTGGACGCCAGCTCCGGGGCCATCGGCGGCCCCCCGGCGGCTCGGCCCTACTAGCACAGCCGCTTTGGCGCCCTGTCATTGCAAGTGACCGGTTTCAACCCTCCTAGAGGGTAGAGGCTCCCGCGGCCCGAAGCGCCGGGAAAGAGGACGTGGCCAGACCGGCGCTGTCTCCGGGTGGGCGGGGCGTTTGGTGGACGTGGGCGGGGCGGGGCGGGGTCTTGACGCGATGGGCGTGTTAGGAACTGGAACCTGGCTGGAGACCACCCAGTGTAAGTGTAAGGGCGCGTGCAGAGAGAGGACTTGGACAAGGAGTGGATGGAGGAGTGTGTCAATGACAGATAACAGTCGGTATCCCTGAGGGACCTATTCGCTGGAGAGGGGGTGTGTCTACGTGTTTGTGTATCTCCATGGGACATCAGGTGGCCTCACCCTGATTGCAGTGGGGTGAGGGATGGGGGGTCCCGCCTGCAGCACTGATGCCAGGCCTTGCTTCTCTTATCAGAACCCATCAAAGTCACGGAAGCAACTCAAAATTTGTCCGACCTGGTAACTGAGGTCCCACCTTCTGTGGCGACTGAGGCCTCCAGCACTAGGAAAACTAGTATCCCTTCTACCCTAGCAACAGAAACTCCATCCTTGGTAACGAAGGTTTCAGATTCCCTGGCAACCAAGACTCTACCTGCCATAGAAACCAAGGCACCATTTTCTATAGCAACGGAAGACCTCCCCTCCATAGCAACAGAGGCACAACCTTCCTTGACATCTGAGGCCCCTTCCTTTTTGGCAAACCACAGTCTGGTCTCTTTGGATGAGGGGCCAGCTACCTTCCCTGGATCGACCCATGAGCCTGTTCCCGAATCGACAGACAAAGAGGTCAGGGGGATAGAAAAACCCTCCAAGAGCCCAGAGAGTTCTTTGCTCCCCAAGAAGCCCTTGACTGGGACACAGGAGCTGCTTCCCCACTTCCAGGAGGTACCGGAGGCTGAGTTGCCTTCTTCCAGTGAGGTCTTGGCCTCAGTTTTTGCAGCCCAGGCCGAGGCAAGTGAATGGCAAGCCACCCAGGACCACACGGTTCACACCTCCTCCAAGTCCCTGTCCAGGTCCCCCAATACCTCTGCCACCGCTAATGCCAAGGGTGGCCGTACCCTGGCCTTGCAGTTGTCCTTGCCAGGTAAGGCCTGTAGTCTCTATCCTACCTTGCCTCCTGGCTTCAGAATGTGAGCCCCTATCCCCAGTATGACGGCATGTGCATGGCAGGGCATGCTCCCTCTGAGTAAGAGCTCCCTCCCTGACGGCTGGGCCCCCCACCTGCATGCCTGATAAGGGCGGGTGGCAGGTCAGGCAAAACTGCCTCGGCTTAGGCAAAACCTTTCTTTCTCCAACAGGTGCAGAGGGCCCTGAAAGGCCTGCTATCAACTCAGGGCTGAACTCGGGCCCTCGTCACATCTGGGGCCTCCTCCTGGGTCTGCTGCTATTGCCCCTGTTGGTGTTGGTTGGAATCTTCTGAAGGGGTCACCATTCAAAGGCAAGGCCTAGTGGGGAGACCCTGGCCTCATGCCTATTCCAGATTGTCTTTCTTCAAGTAAGAGGTCACAGTTTTCCAAGAAGGTCCTCCTCTGTGGCCCAGCAACTCCCATTCATCCCAGTTTCTGACCAGACTCAAGACCAGTGGCTTTGTGCCCTCAGCAGGACTCTATAGGACCAAACCCTGGCACTGCCCTGGGAGTGCTTCTGCCTCTGAGAAGGTCCGCCTCTCAGCTAGCTGCAGATTGTTCTGAGCAGTGTGCTTGTGGTCACATGTGCTCTTTCTCCAGCTAACCTGCAGTGGTGGCCCTGCCTTGCCAATGACAGAGGAACTCAGGGCTTTTCAGGAACCCCTCCCTGTTTCTGGTCTCTTCCCGAGGCATCAGAGTCCTGGGCTGTTCCTAGGAGTGCCTCCTGCCTTCCCAGGGTGAAGAAGTCAGCTGTCCTCCTGCCATCTCCCTTACTCTGTCCCCAGCCCCTCAGACAAGATGCTTCTTGGCTGAAGGCCCTTTGGGAGGGAAAAGCAACAGGCATGTCCTCATCCACAGACATCTCAGGGCACAAGGCCTGGCTGCTCCAAGCTCTGGTTGCTGGCCCATGACTGCATACTTGGCTCAGACCCCTCCCATCTCAGTCCTGGGGGATAGGTGAGGCTGCTGGGGAGATCCCTGTCTGCCTGGCCTGGGGCTATCTTCCTGTGCAAGGCAGGGGGCTCTCCCTGAATGCCCCCTTTCCTCTACTCACCTGTGTCACTGGGGAGGGAAGTTTTGAGGGGTAAAAGGACAAGCCTCACCTGAGTGGGGTTCTAAAGATAAGGCATACAGGAACCAGGAAAGGGAAGCAGCTCCTGAATAAATGCCTGTGTAAGAGTATCCAGAGTCTCCGTGCTTGCAAGGGACCAGGGCAAAGGACTGCTGTTTGGGAGGCTCTGAGGAAGCCCAACGCTTCCCCTACTAACCTGCAGCAATTGTTCCTTCTTCAATACCCCCTATCCCCCAAATAGCCATTTGGTTCTTTGGGACACCCTTCCTTTCTTTCCTATAAACTCCCCCCACCTAAATGTTTTAGTAGCTGGTAGGAATGCGAGGAGGCCAAGGGTACTGGGCTAACTCTCCCAACTCGTCAACAGTGGGATTGAATTGAGCTTGGGCCCAGGATCGAGAAGTGGGACAACAAACAGGAGCCCTATTGTCTGGGTTCATCTGGGACACAGGTTAGAAATGTATCTTAGGCATAACTTTGCCAATCTTTGGTTGGTGTTTGGAGGAGTCCTATGAAAGGAGGCCCAGACACTCCCCCAGGGGAGCGTAGCTTTGTCCAGAAGTGCTGTGGGGCATGAAAGCACAAGTATGTGTGTAGGGATAGCTACAGGAGACTGAGCGGCAGCCTCTGTCTCCAGGCCAAGGCCAAGGATTGCTCTCTCTCTCCCCGTCATATCTATATTCTATATCTATATATCACATAATGTACAATGCACCCATTTCAAGTATACCACTCAGTGGTTTTTAGTATATTCACAGGCTTGTGCAAACATCACCACAGTCAATTTTAGAATGGTTTCATCACTAAAAAGAAATCATAAAGTTCAAGCTCTCCAACTTTGTTATTTTTCAAGATTGTTTAGGTTTTTCTCAGTCCCTTAAATATGAATTTTAAGATCATCTTAACAAATTTCTACTAAGAAACCATCCAAGATTTTGTTAAGGATTGTCATTTTAACAATGTTAAGTCTTCTATCCATGAACATGGGTTGCCTTCCCATTTATTTAGGTCTTTAATTTATTCAATAAGGAATAGTTTTTAAAATATAGACTTTGCAATTAAATTTCTTCATTATTATTTTATGCTATTGTAAGTGAAATTGTTTTAATTTCATTGTTCTAGTCCAAGTACTTAGAAATACAATGTTTATATCAATTTTATATCCTGCACCCTTGCTGAATTCATTAGCTGTAACAGTATTTTTAGTGGATTCCTTAGGATTTGTATATACATGATCATGTCACCTGCAGCTCCACTTCTTCCTTTCTAATCCAGATAAATTTGATTTCATTTTCTTACCTAATTGCCCTGGCTAGACTCTCACTGCAATGTTGAATAGTAGCAAGAGCAGACATCCTTGTTCTTGTTCCTGATCTTAGGAGGAAAAAACATTAGATCTTTCATCATTAAGTATAATGTAACTGTGGGCTTTTCATAGATGCCCTTTCAGGTGGAGGTTTGCTTCTAAGTTTGTTAAGTTTTATCATAAAGGATGTTGAATTTTGTCAAATATTTTTCCTATTTATTGAGAGGATTGCATGGTTCTGTTCCTTATTCTAGGGATTATATTAATTGATTCCCAGATGTTGACACAACATATGGTCCTGACTGGGGTTCCTCCTTCCCTTTGCTCAAGCTGGGTTGTCTGAGGCAGTCAGGTGAGGTAGCTTCTGGGCAGAGGGGGCGGTGGGGCACCCAAACTCATCTTTCCTAGTTTCTGGGTAGGTTCTCTCTGCTTCCTTCAAAGCAAGAGCAACTATAGCCAGTCCTCCAGAAACCTGTCACCTGAGAGAACCTATCCAAGTTCAGGAGCAGACTTCCTTGGACATTTACCCTTGGGGAAATAACAGGAAGGCAGGACACCACTGGGGTGGTGTCCTGCACCAGTCAGGTTGAGCTGTGACAAAAGGGTGGGGAGGGGATGTTTCAGCAGGAGCCCAAGAGGTAAGAGGGCATGTTCAGGGGTGGGGGGCGTGGGGGGAACTGGCCCTCTCAGAGCCTCAGGCCCAGAGTGGGAAGGGGTCTGCTGCAGCACTATGCTGCACGGTTCCCAAGGACACGGTTCCCACAGGACACCCGCTCACTCAGTGCTTCAGCTGGGCCATTTCTACCCCAGCCGCTATAACCATCACACCGATCCACTCCCGGTAAAACCTGACAATGTCACCAGTAAAAGGTGCTGGGATGATGGGTGTGATGGAATATTCTCTGAAGCTGCAAGTGCTTTAAAGGGACTGTATCTTCACTAAGGTTGCTCTTTGACCTGGCCGCTTATCCGCCTCTGATTGAGAAAATTGTCCATCTCCCCACCGAGCCTTGCACTGCCTGTCTCAAGGCAGGGCTGCCCAGCCACACTGCTTTCCAGATCCCTTTTCACACCAACACGAAGGCCCGAATAAGCCTCTGAGGATATTTAAAATAGAGGCTTGGGCCTCTCCGGTGGCACAGTAGTTGAGTGCTGGGTTGCGGGGCTGGCCACGGCCTCTGCAGCGCTGGTTCGTTCCCCGGGCTGCTCCCCAGCTGCCAAAGGAGGGTCCCACATAGCGCACAGATCTCTCCTGCCGCCTGCTGCTCCCCTCAGCAGTGTGGTTTGGTCCTTCTGCCTGCTCTGCTCCCCGCTCTGGCTCTGGTGAATTCTCTCACCCTCCCGCACTTCTGACTGTACCCAGTGCTTGTATAAATAAATAAATAAATCTTTAAAAAAAAAAAGTTAACTTTATAAAAATAAATAAAAATAAATGAATAAATAAAATAGAGGAGACTCCTCACAAAATTCCAAATTACCACCAGTACATTTATTTGAGGGAGAAAGGATCGGATCATATCGGGAACTTTTAAACTGGATAAGTCTAGAGATACTGATCTGCCTATTCTGGGCGTTCACAGCTGTACGTGTAACCGGATCCTGCACATGAGGCGCCACCATGAAACCGATGAGCACTTGATGAGGGGGACACATTCTCAGCAGTCATGTGATATCCCAATCAGAAGAAGGTGCTGCCTTCACATCAGAAAAGTAGTGTTGAGAAAAACGAAGGCAGAACTTAGCAACAGGCTCCTAGCACAAGCCTGGACATGATGGTGGCCTTGTGCAGAGGGTCATGCCCTATGTACAAAGCAGGAGAGCCATGCTCCCAGCTGAGGTGCAGGATGAGAGCCGGGACGGACTCTTAAGATGGGAGTGGGGGTGGGATCTGACCCAAGAGTCTTTTCATATCCAACCTGGGCTTTCCCAGACCATTCTCTGGCACCCTGCGCAAGGCAGACTAGGCAGACGTGGGAAGGAGGATTCTGCCCCAATTCCTCAGCCCCACCCCACCGTCTCAGATCTAACAGGTGACCCGATCCACTGGGCACAGTCCCATCCCCACTCGACCCCCGCATCTGGACAAACACATGGCAAGTATGGAAACTGAAGCCCACTGGGCTGGAGCACAGCTAGATGTTGCTGGGTTGGAGTCGTCTTGCAGGTGCCCCAGGATGATCAGGCCTCACCCACAGTGGCCGGGCTGAGACGGCATGTTTTTTTTAGATGGTTCAGGTTACTCCAGGGCAAAGCGTGATCCTGATGACACCCGGCGGAAAAGCAGGCTGGAGCCACGGAAGAGCTGGCCCTGAATCGGAAGCAACAGCTGGGTCAGTGAAAGAGGAGGCCAGGTTCTTGTCTGCCCAGAAGGCCAGCCTTAGGCAAGGAAGGGTCTAGGAGCTCAGAGGCCCCAGGGCTGCAGGGGGTTCTAGGCTGGCATTCTTACAGGACCAGGTCAGTACCTGCCCAGGGCTTGAAGTCCAAGGGAGTGACCCACTTCATGCCACAGAGTCTACTGGTGACAGGATGAAGCCCCCCCAAGAAGAGACTCATCACCCTTCTGGCTTTAGATGCCAAGTGGTCTGAGACTCCTTCAACACCCACAGGCTGTGATACACAGAGAACGGCCCGGAGTCACTGGGAAGAACCTTGTCAGTTTCTGGCCTCCCTTCTTCCCTCTCATTGTCCTCTTCTCAGCCCGGAGGCCAGCCACTGCCCTATTTCACCGGCAAACCAAGGTCTGGAAAAAGCAAGGATCCGCCCTGGGCCAGACACATGGTTCCCTGACATGTGGGTCCAAGAGCTCCAGCCAGTAGAAGGGTGTTTTGGCACAGAACCCTCGACTGGCATCAGAGAGGCCCAACTCTACCCTCAGGCCTTTATGGGCACCTGGGGCAGAAGGGGGTCTCAGCCTGCAATACTGATCTGAGGCCTTGTGTTTTCAGCTCATGTTACTCAAGGGATAAAGTGTTCTTGAGCCAGAACATCCTCATATTTGTCCTAGGGGACTTTAACATTCCAAGAAGAAAGATGTCTGAGGTGGAATTTTTAAGTAAATCCAGATTTCACTAGCTCAAATCATTTCTACAATAAAGTAAAATTTGGAGACCTAGAGTCTCCATTTTCTTTTCTTTATCCTCCCTACTCACATTAGATTCCATGACAGAGCCTTATCTTTCCATGCAATGGTGACTCCACAAAACCATCCCATCCGATCAATGTGACAAAGACAAAACCTCCTCCCTGAAGAGCATGCTTACCTGCACACTCAGGTACTTCCAGCAGTGGATCCAAGATTTGAACACTGGGGAGTAAGGAGGAAGCCCAGCCTGCAGCCTGCCCAGGAAGGGAGAGCATATTAGACTCAGATCAGTGGGGGATGGGTAACCAAGGGGAAGGATTCCTTCAGAAGGAATGGCTTGGGGCTACCAACACCCACATCTTGAACCACATATACATCCCAGATGAAACCGGGATGCCTGGTGGGCCAAGCCTACACACAGACTGGGGAGGATAAGACAGAGTACTAGATGGGCTCAACTGCTCCCCCCCATGACCCTTGGCAGGGTACCAGGAGGTGTACACCTACCCACAGTTGTTCACAGCCATGAGATCACCGACCAGCAGGAAGGGGTAGGTCAGCATGCTCACTGCAATCTGAAACCCAAGGAGACCTTGTGTCAGGGATTCCATGCACAATGAGCCATCCCCCCGCCTGGGCTCAGGGAGCAGGACAAATAGCATCAACACCCCATAACAAGGTCTGCCTCCAGCCACCACCAGATTGGGCCTCTTAAGCCCCACCAGGCCCATGGATAGTAAGGGGCTCAACTTACCCCCATCACAAATTTGGTGTAGCTCCGGATGGCCAGGGCCTGGCTAAACTGGAGACAGAAAGGAAGACAGAAAGGTTTGGCACACGTACTGCAGGACGAAGACTTCAGAATCAGAAGCCTTTGTCCTGTGCTTCCTGGCCTGCACCCCCTTTTCCTCACCCTTTACATTCACTCTAGTTTAGCCCCTCACACCACTGTACACACTGCCTTCCCGGCCTCTGGGGCCTGATAGTGGGAGTCAAGAAAAAATCTGAAAGGCAGAAATGGTATAAACCAGACTGAGGGATGGTGGGAAATGACCCAGCTGGGGATGGCAGGAAGATAAGGAGGGCTGTTAAGTGGGGTCACTGGCCGCAGGGACTGCGTACCCCACTGGGCTGTAAGCTTCAAGGGCCTGCCCTATGTCTGCCTGGCTCTATGTCCAAGGTTTGGGCCACAGTCAGCACTAAGTGCTCACTGAATGAAAAGACAGACACCTACCTGAATGACCAAGAGTCTTGTCCTGAGGCAAAAGGCAAGGGGAAACCTAGCCTTCTGCCACCCCTACCTCACCAAGCTCTCAGCCCCTTCAGGCCCCAACTCCTGAATTCTTCTTTGCCCAGGAACCAGCCCCCAACTAGCAAGGGTGACCACCTGTCCTCAGCTTTCCATGGCATGGCTATCCTACCAGATGGAGCCTCTGGAACCCCAGGTGGAGGTTTTCTCAGACCCCTGCCTAAGTGGCAGCCTCAGCCTAACCTTCAAGTCACACCCAGAAAAGTACTTGAGAAATACTATCAGTGAAGGCTGCCTGCTGCTGGGGCAACCAGCAGCCCCCTGGTCAAACACCTGCTCACCTAGACTGGAAGAAACCATTGAGCTGTGGGACACCCCTACCCAGCCTTGCTGTGTATGTGATGGCTGTAGTGCACCCTCCGAGGCTGAGAGAGGCAGAGCCACAGGCAGGCACTACTGTAACTGCAACTGGGAACTGGTCTCTGCAAATCCACTTGGATCTGTGTATACTGAAGAGTTTCTAAGACTCACCTCCCCAAGTCAAATGGCTACACAGCCTCCCAGGGAGCAGAGGCCCTCATCTGGGGCAGAACACCCCTGCCACACAGACATGCCCCACCCCCACAGTCAGCCACCCCCCAGAGTCACCAGACACAGACACATGTAGACTAGGACATGCCCCCCAACCCCCAACAAGGTGATGCTGGCAGCCAGGTCCCCAGCCCCTCACCTATCCTCTTGGAATGGACAGTTACCACTGTTAGAACGTCAGGTTAGGACACCCCAGCCCATCACTGTTCCCCAACTTTTATTTTGGTTCAGGAAGAACCAAGTGAACCCATTAGGTTCCCAGATATCTTTCTTTAACAAGCACCTTTTAGAAGAAACAAGACTTTTCCATACCTGAGAGGCCTATATATACCAACTGTGTAAGCCACAGTTAGCAAAACTGTGGAGGTGTCGCAATGGAGCACTTCCTGGCAGATATGACAAAAGCGCCAGGTAAGGAACCAGCCTCAGGCCGGCACAGGAAAAGACTTAGTCCCAGCCATGTTGCTCCCCAGTAGAATAACTCCAGAGAGCCCCCCCAATCTCTGAGGCTCAATTTCTCTGTCAAGTGGGACATTATACCTGCACTGCTCCCTTCTTGACTGGGGTACCATCTGGATCCAATATCAATGTTCACCAAAGTTTTGAAGTAAAAAGCATTAGCAAAAAGTGAAAGGGTTATTAATAGCTGGTCTATGCCCAGCTAATAGGGAGACTTCAGAATCTCTAATTGGGCCACTGCCTCAACCAGCCTTGGATAAGTTTTAAACCTAAAGCTGCCCATGGGGAGCATTCCAGTCTGGAATCTTCATCTCTTGAGGCCACCCTTCTGAAGGCAAAGCTGACCCAGGGTCAACCAGAGCCTCCTCTTCTCTGACCACTCCTCAGAGACCCTCTAAAACCCTCAGGACCTGACACTTAGAATCCCAAAGTCCTCGAGTCTGCCCCAGCCCTGGGCATCAGCAGTACATGGAAAGATGGACAAGTCCTTGTTCCAACCAACCTGGGAACCTGGATTCTGGTCGTTCCCCAGCCCCCCTGGGGTGTCACTCACGCTGTCATCCACCAGGTAGGCATTGATGAAGTGGGCCAGCAGGTTACAGCCCCACAAGAAAACCACATCTCCCAGGAGGTGAGGGATTAAGCCGCTAAAAAAACAAGGCGAGCAAAGATGAGCAGGGGAGGCAGGGGATCATTTCCTGGGGTTCCACACCCAGGAAGCAAGCAGGGATGTTCCAAGCTCAAAACGTCAGCATATCTGGAGGCACTACCATAAGAGGAAGGCAGCAGGGAACACGCCGGCCAGCAAGCTATGGACACTGCGTGGGCCGTGCTGCTTTTTCCACAGGGGCATCATATGCCACATCTCACACTGCAGAATGAGTTTATGATCTCACAAGTGATTTTCAAACCAAGAAGCCAGGTATCAAGATGTGAATGTTGCTACATATGAGATTTTCAAATGCTGATTACTATATGTGGGTCCTTTTCTCCTGATCTCTCTAACATTCACAAAATACTTTGCTCAGTGAAAAATGTCTTTGCTCTATTCACTCCGGGAATGTTCCCATGATGACATTCCATGCAAACTTCTGCAAGGAGGGCTGACTTTTAAAGTGTTGGCCTTTGGGATCAACAGCCCTACACACTGATAGGGAAGGTTCTCGAAGACAGTGCTGAGACCAAAAGCCAGATGGAGATGAGTGAGTGTTTATTTGCCTGTCTGGATACAGAGTAACTTGGGAGAAGTTGGCTATGTCTTGAGAGGGGAAGCAGAATTATGATTTTTGAATTTAAAAAAATATTGCAAAACATTTCATATGTTCAAAAGAAGACATGAAGCACGTCCGTGTTATAAGGGATGTTAGCAGAACCAACTTCCATGAACGCAAAAGTCCATCCTGTTGCCTCCATCTGTGCTCACTGACTTTTCACACCCCTCCTGCCTTGGTGCTTCCTGCATCTCCTAACGAGCACGTACACTGCCTGTTCCAAAAATGCACCAAGAAAAAAAAGAACCTACTGGGCAAGCAGCTGCTGTGCGGGAATCCTATGCACACACAGCACAGAACCAGACAGTGAGTGTGAAAATGCCAGGGATGGTGATGTGTAGAGTTTTAAGACTTGATATACCAGTCACATGGGCAAATATTTACTCATATGTATTTGTGGAAGCGTGTATATACCTATGCATACAGACACACATATATGTATGTGCATGTGTATGGCATATAAATCACGATTTGTCAATCTTGGCACTATTGACATTTAGGAGCTAATAATTCCTGTCATGAATTATCCCCGATCGCTATTCATTAGATGCCAGTTGTGACAACCAAAAGATGTCCCCAGACATTGCCAATGTTCCCGGGGGGCAAAACTACCTCCTGGTGAGAACCAAATATATACACGCGAACACATATGCCTAAATGTAGTTGTTGCTTGGTTAAATGAAGGATTATAAGTAAGAATACCTGGATGACTATAAAACCACAATGTGAGTTCATACTGAACCCCTGTCTGCTGGTATAGCATTCGCATAATGTCATTGCTTAGATCGTAAAAAGTCAAAACAAACAACACATTTGTCAAGCCCAGTTTCTGGGTACCATCTGAGGTTTCTTTTGCTGGACAGGTTTTTCTGCTAGGAGTTTTCTTTAGTGGTGCAATGAGGTGGATGTGAGACATCAAGGAGAGCAGAGACTGTGTCCTGCCTGACAGTTTCTTTGCAGAAACACAGGCCGGGAGTGCCAGTTTTCTGACTCAAGAGGAGTCAGCAATATGAATTGTTGTGTGAAATATCCTAAATGTTAAATGTGAAGAACTGATTTGTCAGAAATGCCATGTCAAACAGAATCTATCAGCTGGAGTCAGCCTGTGAATTCAGTGCTCAACGCTCAGTGCAAATCAGACTCAGCCATTTTCAATAGTGAAAGCAAGGGTAGTGGAGCACCTTGGCTCATGAAGACCTGCCCCACACCCACCCCCAGTCCTAGAGCAGATAGACAGAGACTTGCAGGGGAGGGTGGGCCGGCATTCAGTCCATCTACCCAGCGTGCTGGAAAAGCAGTACCATTTCTGTGAGCCGTGATCTGCAAAGAGCCGGGTGGCTTTGATCCAGAGGATGGGCAGCTCGCACATGCTACACAGCTGAGGGGCTGCTACTCAGGCTGGGCCGAGCCCTGCGGTTAGTAGGCCAGCAGCTGCGGCCTGAGAGGTGGAGAATGCACCTGTTAGTAGAGTTATGCCCAGCGGCCAGGGGTGGGGTATATAAACTCACGTACACAAAAAATCCCAGCAGCCCTTCTTCTTTGAATATCTTCCCGATGGAGCTCAGCACGCCACTGTGAAGAAGGCAAGGTAGGACAAGAGGTCACCTTCAAGAAGTCCACCCCCTGGTAAGGCGTAGAGCCTGCCACCTCTGCCTAGAGCTTTCCAGTTCTGGCCGGGATGGAGAAGTCACTTTCTGTTGCCAGGCAGATCCCAAATGGAGAAGATTAGAAAGCTCCTCCTGTTTGTGGGTAAGGGGGTGTTCACCCAGTTTATGGAGATGGGGAAACCCAAACCCTCCCGGGGGTAGAAGCCACCACTGTCATTTTCTGTGGCATCTGGAATGGAGGAATGAAGCTTTTGGAGCCTGGATATGGCAGGGGTGACAGGCCCTTCTCCTGCCTGGTCCAAGGGTTTATCTCTGGCCCAACAACCCCTTGGCAGAGAAACCTTCATGTCCCACTGAGTGAGAGCAGGAAGGGTGGTGAATGACCTCCCCGAGGGCAGAGAGGGACTCTGCAGCAGGCAGCCTGGAATTAGACCACCCAGGAGCAGCCCGTGATCAGGCATCTGGCTGTTGTCCTCAGCAGGAAGCATGAGGCCACCACAGCTTATTCAAGACCAGAGGACAGGCTGTGGAGTCTTAGGTGTGATGTGCAGAGAAGGCTTAAAAGCAACCTGTAGAGCTGTGGTGAGCACTGCCAGAGGCCTATCCTGTAAGGAGGCCCTGCAAAGCCTGGCTGGCAGGGGCAGCTTAGGAGATGAGAGTGGGAGCCCAAACCCTGGCTCGTACTGGTCCTGTGGCGCCCCAGCCCTGCCAGCCCCATACCCTAATCAGCACAGCCTCATTCCCAGAGGTTCTGAGCCAGATTGCCCCCAATTGGTTCTACTTAGCAACCTCACATTTCAGTCTGGGGAACGGGCTGATTTCCCACTAGTGAACCATGGGCACTGAGCTTCCTGGGGCAGTGGCCATGTAGGAAAGAAGAAAACTGTACCCGGGAAACAAGAATATTGGAGAGGATGGGTAACAGAGGAATGTTGTCCTGCCACCGGCCTCCAGGACCCAACTCCTGTCCTGTACTGGCCCTCTGGTGAGGGAGGGCATGAATGTGTCAACCCCTTTCATAGTCCCCTGCTCAGGGCTGGCATAGCAGCTGCTGGGGAGTACTTGGTAACAACTGAAAGTCCCAAGCCCATGGAGTAGACAGTCTCTTAGCAGAAGATGAAACAAGCTAAAGCTGGAGAAACTGTTAGTTTGTAACCTAGGGGGTCCAGGACAGGACACCTCGCTCAGTCCTAAACAGGAGAATCACCCATGAGACCTAAATTCCTAATCCAAGCAGACTCTCACCCCACTCACCCCTCTGCAGGACACCTGGGCTCACCAGGGCAGCTCTGGAGAAGAGAAAACTCCCTTGGACACAGACTAGGGAAGCCACTACCACATTCCGCTGAAGTGAGCTCATTAGAACTAAGGCAGATAAGGGACAATGACTGACCCCAGCACGGTCTGTCCTGACAGACAGAGCATGGTGACAGGCCCACTCCTGCCAGTCCAGAGAAGAACTACCCACCTGTACTTGGCCTCCCGTCCCACAAACTGGACCATGCAGCGCATTGAGATGACTGAGGAAAAAGAAAACACACATAGGTGACATGTGGGGCCAAGTCTATGATACCCCAGCCAGGGGGTGTCCCATGCAGAAGAGGGGAGAGAGACCCTGGGGTTCCCTGTCACAACCCATGACCATGGCCTCCCATTTTTTTTTTTGTCTGGGAAAAACTCCAGCTCCCTCTGGACAGGACTCCTATCCAACCTCTCCAGTAGGGTTCCAAAGGAATATCCCCACCCCATTACCACTTCTCAGTAAGTCCACCACTGCCCATCTGCAGTCCACGAGGGGTCACCCCATGGCTGAGATGCACTCTCCAGTGGGCGCTCACCATGCAGGGGGTGGGCCAGCATGCGGGACACGCACTGCATCATCATCTCGTAGGAGGTCTGGAAGAGAGCAGAGGAAGGGGACTCTGTCTGGCCCGTCCCTGGAGCTGGCACTTATGGGGAGCTACGATCTCTTGTGGGGTTAAAACCAGGGTCCCAGAGCCCCCACTTGGGGTCAATCTATGTAGAATGGCCCACTCGTAACCTCTCCCATCCTCATTCCCTCCACCTGGGCCGCTGCCGGGTCCCTCCAGGTCAGGCCCCACGGCAGCTGAAAGGTTTTTCAGGATTGCCTCCTCTACCCATGCTTCCATGTACCCCCATCATGCCCACACAAGGACCCAATTCAGGGACTCTGCAATAACCCGCCCAGCTCAGGGTGAGGCATAATCAGCTACCCTCTGAGGGCCTCTCCCCCTCCACTTCCAGACACCCACCTCCTTCACCACTTTCTTCAGAGAAGTCTTCATATCATCCTTGTTGGAAACCTGCTCAATCTCATCCGGAGGGAAAACCTGAGGAACAAAGACAAAACCAGGTACAGCGATGTCTCCTCAATGGAACTCTAAAGGGACAGAGGTGGCAGGAATGGGCCCCTACAAATTTATCTGCAGTGTGCATTAGCCAGACCAGCTTCAGGCAACCCCCAGGGCTGGGGCAGGGGAGAAGAGCCTTAACAGGGTCACAGCTGTGGGAAAGTGGGACTGTGGGGCAAGCACCCACCCAAGCAAGGGATCTCAGGATGAGACCATTGAGATTTGGAGGCTGGCTATGGCGCTGGGGTGGAGAGACCCTGCCAGTCTGGAATGGAGAGATGGGACGAACCACAGAAGGGCTCCTGGGGGTGACAGGGAGGTCTGGGAACCCGAGCTCTTCACTTCAGGCTCACCTTCTTCATGCTGCCCCGGGTCACAGTGGAGAGGGCGTTGGACATGAGTCGGGGGCTCAGGCCTCGGAAGAGCCCTATCTTCCCATCCACTTGCACGATGTACTTGGCTATGAGAAAGCAGAGGTGGCAGCATGACGCGGGGTCTAGATGCACCCACTCCTGGGTCACCCAGGCCAGACACAGCCTGTCCCTCAGAACACACCGACTTCAGTTACGGAAGGGAACACCCACCCAGGACCCCAGGCCAAAGGCCTTCTCCTAACAGTTTTTAGAAAACACCTTCACAACAGTTTTTTGACCAGCAATTTTAGACATTTCTTATTTCAGCTTTGAAAACTACCTGGCAATTCAGCAACTTAAGTGCTGCAACAAAGAAAGCAATTCTGTGGCTTATGGAAAACATTTCTGGGGAGAGAGGGGGCAAAAAACAACAGGACAAAAGCATCCACGGGCAATGAAGTTTGCGATGTTAAGGGGGAAAAAGGAAAGGGAACCCTAGAAGGCTGCAGCATCCCCTGGGCAGGCCAAACATGAGGCAGTCTCCACCCTGTTTCTGTGTAGCACCCATGACACCCTAGCACCTAGTAGCCTTTATTTATCATGGGGGGGAGGGGTGGGAAGCAGGGCGGGGTATGTGAGTAAAGAAGGAAGGGACTAAAACAGAAGCACCAAAAAACTAGCCTGTAGGATACACCTAAGCAGCCAGGAGCGCGACGCCCTGCCTGTGTGAGTCAGTGCTTTTCCAGTACGGTTCCTAAAAGGATACTGTTCTTTACATTCCGCTGTTTTATTTACTGTCAGTTTTTTTATCCATGTTTGAGAAGGCCATGTGTTTTTATAAACCTGCATACCTGGAAGCTAGCAGAATGTTCTCTGAATGTGCTCCCCCTTTCAGACCCACAGAGCGTGCTCTCTAGTGTTGCACAGTGGCAGCAATGAGCAAACATGCCTTTCTCTCCTCTGCAACATGTCTGCCAGCCAGCACTTCCATGTCACGGCCAGCATGGGCTCTTACGGACCTGGGGGCACCTGTTACCTGCACATCTGGCTTCCTGAGGTGGGTGGGGCTGCAAAGAGAGCAGTAGGAGGGGAGAGGGTGCCATTGACCTGGCTAGGGGCCCTGCTTCAGTGTGAGCAAGCAGAAGGACGGTTGGGGGAGGGGAGCTGAAGTCAGCAGAAGAGAGAGCCCGTCTGGATAAAGCCTGAGTGATCTGGGGTGAGACATTTTACCTGATATGCCCATCAGTAAAAAGGAGTAAGGACCCCTATTCCTCCCCATCTCAGAGAATCATGAACGAGTGAGAGCCAAGGAAGGTAAACAAAGGCTCTGTGAGCCACAGTGCCCCATGGCTGCCCAGGGGCTCCGTCACTCCATGGTATCCCTGCCATCCCTGGAAAACTCTCCAGGAAGTTCTTTCCATTACACCAAAGAATGTACAACAGCTGCGGCACTTTCTGCCCTGACATGGGAGTAGCAGATGCCGTCCAGACGGTATCTAGAGAGCCAGAGAGCTGAGCCTCCTCTACTAGGGAGCAGGTATCGAGTCTGGAAATGCCCACCAGGAATCTGGACTGAAACATTTATATAAGGGGTGGGGGGAAGCCCTGATCACTGCAAGAAGTGGTAAGAAAAGGGTCAAGACCCCTCCTTAGGTGCTTTCAGGAATGACTGTGTGAGGTGACACAGTCCCTGACCCTGAGTCCCTGAGATGGCTGCAGCATTGGTAGCCTATTTGGAGAAACCACGGAGGAGCAAGCAGCTGCCCCCCAGGCTACCCACAAATCTAGTGTTAACTTTGCCCACTGACCTCACTGCACAAGTGCCAAATTCTGTGATTTCCCCCTTCCCTACACTGACAATTTTTAAGTGAAAACAAATATGAACACACCTCCCTGCTAAACAGTTCTGCCTGGCCCTGGACTGTACTCCATAACGACAGGCTGGGGAAACTTAGAGAGAAACAGGACAGCAGATTCTGTCCACAGTGTGTGAAATGAAAAACAGGTGAGGAAAAGCAGCAAGTTATTCAGCAGAAAGATTTTCAGAGAACACTCTGGACTCACTAGAGAGGTAAGAAAGCAGAGGTGGAGGAGTGTAAGGGAGGAGCCTGGCTGTGAACATGGAGAGCAGGCCACGAATAAAGAAGGTCCCATCACCGTGCTGGGTGAGGGTGGGGACTGCGCGAGGGGCAGAGGTACGGATCTGAAAAGGTCAGGGTCAGCTGTCACCTGGGGGCCGGGGGCCAGCAGTTGAGACAGCAAGGTGGCCTCACTGGCATCAGGCAAGCTTCACTGTGGTGGAGAGACCTCCCGGGAGACACAGAGAGGGGTGCAAGGGGCTTGCATGAAGGGCCCAGGCTCCAAGAAGTGACACTACTACACAATCTGTTGGGAGCGACTATGTGATTAGGCATCTGAGGCTGGAGCAGCTGGTCTGGGAAGATCAGAGATGAAGCCGCCACTCACCACACCCTGTTCCATACCCAGTGTGCCAGAGTGTGTAGGCACCACCTGGAAAAGAAGCCAGGAGGGCCCGACAGGCCACCTGCTAGAGTAGCAGGAAAGCCAAAAAGTGGGTAATAGGGCCAGACTGCTTAGATGGCAAAAGGAAAACCACCCCGCCTTGCTTCCAGGTGCAACCCGGGCAGCAGGGATGACAATAACCAAGGTCCTAGGCTGGCCTCCCTCTCAGGTACCTGGTTTGGTCCGTCCTGCTGCCTGGGTACTGCAGCTAGCAGTTGCGGGCAGAGAAACTGGGCCATGGCTTATTCACCTGCTCTGACTCCACACCCTGCCTCCCCCAGCCACACTCTTCAACCCCTTCATCTAAGCCAGCTCCGACTGACTGGGTGCCACGCTGCCCGGTGTGTTTCCCAGAGCCGGTTCGACCTGCTGCCCATTTGATACTACTTTGCCGCCAGTGTGGGCTTTCCTGCCTGGGAAGCACACTCACCGTAGGTGAAGAAGCTCGGCAGATACAGGACCTTCCTCCCCAGCACATTGGTCCCAATGGTGGGGGGCATCGGCTCATGACCCACCTTCAGAATCAACAAATACAAAAGGAAGGTCAGATTCTACTGCACTGAGTCTCATCTTCCCAGGCCTCTACCTCTTCTCCCACAATTCTAATGCTGGCTTTGGTCAAAACATCTCAGAAATGTCACTGGTGTTTTTAACCACCAGTCTTGTGAAATCTCCCATCGAACGTCAGTGTCTGGTCCCAGATACCACCCCTACGACAGTCCCCCAATATTCTTACCTCATCCCCAGCCCTCCGCATTCTTATCTTCAAATTCCAGGTGTTTCCAGGACAGAACTCCCCATTTTTATGTACTTCACATCCCACTCTCATCTCAGAATAAATCTCATTTAATTCTTCCAGGTTAAAAATTTCAATCCAGTCTCAATCCCCAATATGGTAACACCAAAACATTCACACCCAAATCTCAGACCCAAACCTCAGACCACTCAGCTCCAAGTAACCCCTTCCACAGTTCATCCCACATTCAAGTGCCCTCTTCGTAGGCACCAACAAATCTGGCACTCTCACTCTCAGGCGGGGGATACTGCTATCCCAAATGCCCGTTGTTCCTCAAACATCCCCTCAAATGTGTTGTAATATCAATCACCCTACACTCCTGAGGGAGAATAAGCCCCTCCTTTCTGAGGGCTATCATAAATCTTGCTGTAAGCTGCTGGGTATAATTATGGTATTTGTTAAACTTGTAGGTGTGTGAAGGACTAAGCCACTATACCCACTGTGAGGAGGTGGGGTCTCTCCTGAGGGCTGACGCCAACTGTTTTGCTAGCAATCACCAGGCAGGAGGCAAGGTGTCCAGGAGTGTGAGCAGGGAGGTGGGGAGGGAGAAGGCCCGCCCCTTCCTTGGCAGAGGGCCAGGCAGCAGCCCTCTCCCTCAAAGTCACGCCATGGACCACAGCACAGACTTCTTGGCTGTGGAAGCAGGAAGAAAAGGCAGAGTTGGAAAGCTCTGCCTTATAACCTAGACTGGGTATGCTTCTAACATTTCCTGTCCTAATTTCTTTTATCCTTTGCTTGAATCCTTTTCTTTTATCCATTGGTTTTATATTTAAAAGTTCAGGTTCCTCCCTTATAAACGTGATTCTGAGCTACAAGACAGATTATTGATTGTAAATAAAGCCCCCTCCAGGATGGAGCACATTTTTAAAAAAATTCTAACCAAGGGGAGTTAGAGGAAAACAATGGGCCAGCTGACCCAAGCAGTTAAGACTTCCCTTTCTAGACCTTTCCCCTTCTGGGTTAGAAGCTCAAAGGTTTTGAGTTACATTTTGTTTTGATTTTGTTCTCATACAGTTGGTATTTCCAGTACATTCTCAACTCCAAGTCTGAGATGCTCTTTTTGCTGTCTTTTTTTTTTTTAAACATTTTAAAAGGACAGGTTTATTACGAAAAGGAGAAGGAAAAAAGATACACCTGCATAGTCATTAGTAGGCAGACAGCTGCTGCTACTGCTTTGCAAAAGGAAAAGATTTATGAAAAGAAATGCCTGCATGGTCACAGGCAGGCAGGAGAGTGGCTCTTCTTGCTGACTTGCCTGGTTTGGTGACAAATTTGGAAGTCCCATCTACTTCAATTTCACCCTCAATTCTGTCATGTCCGTATAACTCCTATCTCTGTAGCTCCCAAATCTGTTGAGTCTATTTTCTTAACTTCCACTGGGGTTCACAATAGGCACACTGACTGTACCTCATCCCTCTCTTCCTGACCCTCAAGTTTTCATTATTTGTGTCATATCCAAATTCATCCCCCAATCTGTCAACCCAATTCTAAAGATAAAGCTGCAGCTCTTTATTAGATAATAATTATTATTAGATAATGGCAGAGCTAGTACATCACCTTCAAAACTTCAACTCCTGAAACATAACCCCCATGAGCCCAGCTCTGAGTCACTGCATTATTACCCACTTAATCTAGACAACTGCCAAATCTGGCACTCCAATCTTGCCACACAACCCCTCCCAGATCCCTGGGATCTGCTTTGCATGCAAATATTACCCTGAGTCCCATTATGATCTTACCCTAATACAGGTTACATGTATATACACAGCATCAACTAGGTTCAGATAAGAGAGGCTGCCTACTACCCCACCATGTTCACCCATGCTTACCTACCCACCATTCAGGTCCTCACCCATGAGCCTCCCTCATCCCCAACTCTCTCTCATGCCCAATTCCCTTTCCAAATCACTGATTTCAATTTTCTTCTCAAACTCATAAATCAAATCTATCATGATTGAAATAATGAAGCCACTTTCCCCTTACTTCACATGGAGCCCCCATTCCTTGTTCTCCAACATCCTCCACTACAGAGACCTTCCTAATTGCCACTACTCTGAAGTCCCAGCCTTCACCCAATCTCACTCCATCGCTGAAAATCTCAGCTCCCAGTATGCTTACTCCTCATCTCAGGTCCTACCAGTTCCAAAGCCCGATTTATCTCCCAAGCCTGTAATCTCTATTGTTATAAATACAATTCTAGTCCTACAAGTAAAGCCACTTCCAAATCAAAACCAAATGCCACTCTTGACTTCCTCCCTTAGCCATTTTCAAATCTCAGTCACAACTTGTTCTATCTAGTCAGGCATCCTGATGATGTCCCTGACTGAATTTTCTCATTCTCTGTCATATTCCTGATCAGACCCCAGAATCTACTGGCCTCATTTCTCAGATCCCAGATTTCAGTTACTCCCAGTCTCAAGTTACTCCCAGTCTCAAGTTCCTCTCATGCCAACTTTATGTGGCATTAAGCCAGTAAATCGGACACAGCTCCAGCTCAACTCATAACAAGTGTTAAATCTCTGTTGTGTCTCCATCTCGACTTTTACCCTCTATTCCCCTCTCTTCTTAACTGGAAAATTCTAGGCTGAATTTTCAGAAGTCAGACCAGGCCTGAACCATCCTCATCTAAACTGTGCCCATCTCAATCACGCCCACCTAATTCGGCTACTCCTTCAGCCCCGCCCCCTTCCAGCTCAATCTCTCCCTCTCCCGAGCAGCCTACCAAATATGTCAAATGCCCCGGCATTCCTCGATTCCACAGACATCCCTGCCGCGGTCTAGGTTTGTACCTATCTTGCCACTTGAGATCCCAAATGCCTCTTCTGCCTGCTTCCAACGTTCAGCATTCCCATAGCCCTTTCAGCCCAACAGCCCCATACGCTAACTGCGATTACCATACCCCCCAGACCCCAACCCCCGTTTTCTCCTGCAAATGCGTCATCCCTTTCCCCCCTAAAAGCCTCCTCGCTCCCTTCTCCACACCAATCTCCACCACTCCCCTTCCCCCACTGCGTCGCCCTATCCTCCTCCCCCCAAACGCGTCACCCCGTCCCCTCCTCCCACCAAACATGTCGCCATCAAATCTAGACCCCCCTCTCCATTAAACCGAAAACTCTCTCTTGCCATAATCCTTTGCTTTCGGCCTCTCCCCACAAATTCCATCACCATTAGATGCGCTGCCGCCATCCCCTCCCTCCCGGTGGGTTGATGCCCTTTCTTCTCGCCTAAATTTTTGGCCCTGGCCCCAGTCCTTTGTCTCACCCCGCCCCACCCCCACCCCCCTGGCGCTTTAAATCCACCTCTATCGAATGCAGAGCCCGTACTCCTCTCTACCCCAGATGTCTGCTCCTGGCCTTCCAAATACCTTGCCTAGGCCCCAATCCTCCTCCCCAGCTATTCGCCGAAACTTCTCGCCCCTCCCCCCGCTCTGTTGCTGCTCCCCTCACCCCAGCATACCGCCCCTTCCCCTATTCCAACGCAATCGCTTCCATTCCTTCATCCTCCAAACCCATCGCTCCACCCCATCGGCCCTCGCCTGCACCCCCCAAATCCCTGTTCCTTCCATCCTCTTCCAATTCGGTCGCTCCGACTCCTCCGCCCCCTCCGAACCCCTAAACCCGTGCCACCTGCATCCCCAGGCTCCTTGCGCTTCCCTCCTCTCCCGTCCCCTTGGCCCACGAGACCCGTCGTCCCGCCCCCATCCCCGAGGCCGCGGCCACCGACCCCTGCACTCTCCACTCCCCGCCCCCATCCTCCTCCAGATCTCGGCCTGTCACCTTCACATCAGCCCCCACCTCCTTGCGGCGACCTTGGATCCCCACCTGGATGAGCAGCTTCACGTAGAGCAGCGGGTGGCTGAGAGCGGTCACGCCCGCGCCCAGCGCCACGAAGAGGGCCTCGGTGGTCGGGGCGTTGTCCCCGGAGCCCAGGCCCCCCGGCGCGCCGTCCATCCTGCGGGCTGAGGGCTGCGCTGCAGGCCGGGGTGGCGCGGGTGCGCGCGGTGCGCGGGCGGCGGGTCGCGAGCCCGGGCCTCCACTCCCGCCGCCGCTCCGCCGCGAGCTCCCGCTCCAGCTCCAGCTCCCGCCATCCCCGCGGCACCGCCGCGAGCCCAGGGCGCCACTTCCGGGTCCAGAGCCCCCATGGCGGCGGGCGGCGAGGTCACTCCCCGTCACGTGACGGGAGCTCGCCCCGCCCCGCGCCGTCAGGAGGCGGGGCCCGGCCGCTCCGCTCGCGTCCACAGGGGCGCCGGCCCTGGGCGCGGCCGGAGGTGCCTGCGGCCCCGGGACTCCGTGGGGTCGGTGGTCGCGAAGGCCCGGGGTCGGGGCCTCTGGGGATGTGGAGGCTGACGCAGGCCGGGGCGCTTCCCCAGGGACCCCAAAGAGCGGGGGGCGGGGCTCGGCGGCTGCTGAAGCCTGACGCCCCCGGGACGGTCTGAGGCCCGTCCGAGCCCCCTCCCCGGCTTCGGGAGTTTTCTCCGCAGTTCTGCGCCCACCCCTTTGCAGCCGCGACCACGGTTAACACAGCCTGCGAGCCCTCATGCTGCAGGCCTGGCCCCTCCTCGGTCTCCCGTCTCACAGTCTTAGCCCTTTGCCTTCCCACCAAGCCCAATCCTGTTGCCCCTGGAGGATTGGGGGTCACCCTCCCCTACAGCCTGAACCTTGGTAAACCTCCCTTAGAGTCCTTGGTCAGAAAATATATTTTGCCCTAAAGTATTTGAGAATCTTCTTCAACTAGATTGTGAGGGTTTTAATCAGTCATTGGATGTGAGCACACGCAGGCACCGTGCTAAGCTCCGATAATTTTTTAATAAAAATAAATAGTAACTGGCCTTTCAATCACACTATGTGCCAGACACTTTTTAAAAGTGCTTTGCGCATGCTAACTCGTGTATAATCCGCACAACAAGCCGGCAGGGAAGTATTTATTACCTGTGCTTTTTTTCACACGTGCCCATCTCTTGCAACAACGCCGGGAAACTGCCTAGCTAGTGGTGGAGGTGCTCAATATAAGTTACTGTTTAAATGCAGAGGAATTGAGTGTCCTAGAGTCTGAAAGGATGCAATGGGGGATCCAGTCTCCAACTCTCTGCCCCTATATCGTCTCTCAGTATCTGCAGGGGCTTGGTTCCAAGATCCCCACGGATACTAAAAATCTGCAGATGCTCAAGTCCCTTATATAAAATGGCATCGCATTTGCACATAACCTACACCCATCCTCTGTACAACATCTCTAGATTACTTATAATACTTAATACAGTGTAAATGCTCTGTAAATAGTTCCTACTCTGTATTGCGAGGGAATGACATTTAAAACTGTGCACATGTTTGTGTCAGTACAAACACAATTAGGCCTTACTCTTTGTTGTCTTCATCTGTAGTTGGTTGAATCCCCCCACGTGGAACCACGGATACCTGACACTACTTATCTACATCCCCTGTTCATTGTGAGAAAGTTCTGTAGAACAGCCTTCTATACAGCAAGTTGTATAGAACAGCCCGACTCCCTTCCTGCCTAGGCACCTAAAAATCCACCTCCCTCCTTGCCACTCCTGCCAAGGAATACTTTCTATGCTTCACATATTCAAATCTGGCCAGCCTTCCTCTTGCCCCCTGTTGGCCTCCCTAACCTAGGTCTGTTCAGATTTGAATCACTGCAAAGCCACCCAGCCCTTTCAAATCACCTGGTTTCTCCTTCAAACGCAACTTTCATCAAACCTACATACACGCCCAGGGAACTCTTTAAATAAATTCCTTCTACTTGCTTTAAATAATTTGCTTCTGATTTAGTTTTTTCAATAGTAACCTTAAAGTCGAGTCCATCCACAGCCTGATTGAACTTAAGAGCGCCATGCTACCTCTCCACCCAGAAGTCAGGTTATCAGTTTGGGGGGTATGGGAGGTATTGAGGGAGTGTGGAGATTAGTTAATCTCACCTTCCTACTGAAACTTTCTCACAGAAACCTTCTCTGGGCTTATTCTGAACTTGACTTGCTTTGCCTTACACTGTTATCTAGGTTTTTGGTTGTGTCTGGTCCATTCAGACTGCATTTGCATGTAAGGCATCTAGCTACACTATATTGTCTTGCATTATTTTGTATCTTCCACAGCACCAAATATGAAGATATATAGTAAATGTTCAGTAAATTGTTTTTAAGTGATTGAACAGTTTCCCTAAGCAAAGAAATTTGAGTAAAAATAGGTGAGTTAAAGCAGTTAGACCCCTAGGGGACCAAGCAGTAGTAAAACTGCATTATAGCTATATTCCACAAGCCAGAGTTCACAGGCATACCAAAAAGAAAGAAAAAAATCTTAACCATAAAATAATTATAACCACTTAAAAACACATTCCACCATTAATGTGATTTTGCAAATAAAAGGATCAAAATTCAGACGATCTTGATGTAATAGAGCAATCTGAAAAAAAATTAAGGGCAAAAATGGTTTTCAAATGAAGGGCAAAGTAGAGAAGAGAAAGTTCTAGAAAAAGAAACAGGACATTGATTAAAAGAATAGATATATTCCTCTAGAAATGAAAAGTACAGTCACTGAAATGATTGAATCAAAGAAAATCTTTCTCAGCATTCATTGTACTGAGCAACTTGGTCATGTGTATGCACTGAGAACTCCTGAGCACTTGGCTCTGGGCTGGATTGGTGCTTCTTTTTGGTCCTGTTTCCTGCCTCCACCATGGCTACATGCTTTCTTTCTCTTTTTTTTTTTTCTTTTTAAAGATTTATTTATTTATGCATGTAAGAGCTGGGGTACAGGCCAGAGGTGCGGGGGATGAGAGGATTCAGAAACAGAGTGGGGAGCAGAACAGGCAGATTGACTGAAATACACTGCTGAGGGGAGCAGCGGGCGAGTCAGGAGACGTCTGCTGCACCATGTGGGTAGCTCCCTGGCCGGGGATCAAACTCGTGCTGCAGTGGCTGTGGATAGCTTCATAGGTTGTGTCTTAATCCCTTGAGCCACCAGGGAGGCCTGGCTGCGTGTTTTCTTGCCAGTCTTTGGTAAAGTGTGCGTTCCTTGAGACTAGGGACTGTCTTATTCATGGCTGACATAATGCCTGGCACATGGGAGGGACCAACTAAATACTTATTATAAAACAAATGAATAAGCAAAAATACTTTTAACAATTGCACCATTATTTATAGTAGCACCACTTACAGAATGAAAACTATAGGAAGACACTTTCCCAGGTTAGGATGGAACAAACTACAACAAATGAGTCAGAAATTAGACTTTTATTGACCTTGAGAATTGCCAAATAGCTAGACCACCAGTCCCTGGAGTTCTGTGGCTAACTAATGCTACAATAAAAGAAAATACAAAGTAGTAAGTACACACCATTGCAACTAAGTTAACATCACACTGGGGAGGGGAGGGAGGACTTGAGTTTCAAGATCAGCATGAGATTTTGACCTCATGCCCAGCGAAAGCAGGGCACAACAGGTATGGGGAGAATTTCCACCACCCTCACCCCAGTAAAGAATATGGGTGGGCTTATCTGGATGTAGGAATAGGGGTGTGGAGAACTGCCCTGCCTTCTGTCCTGGAACCCTGGGATCCCATATTACAACAGTTACCCCAACCAGAGGTCAAGCTACAAAAGGAGCCAACGTTAAGCCCTGGCATCAATACCATTACTCTCACTTCTACCCTCTCCCCAAACACATAGGGTTCTATTGAGCAGTAATAAGTGCTAAATTTAGCCAGCTTTTCCACTTTCCAGGATGCCTCTGCTCAGTGAAGTGAGGAGTACCTGCATAGGTGCCCAGCTCCCATCAGGCATTATTACGCTTCTGTGCAAATATTAACTCCATTAATACAATGTAATGTTGGGACTATGATGTTTACCCTTGTGCCACAGGTGAGGAAACAGAGACCCAGAGAAGTTAAATAACTTGTTGAGGGTCACACAGCTAGTTAAAAGGCAGGCCAGGATTCAGATTCAGATCTGCCTGAGTCTGACACCCCATATTTTTAATTTATTTATTCATGGTGGGGTTTTTTTAGTTTCTTTTTTTTTTAATTTTTTTTAAAGGATAGCACTTATTTATTTATTTATTTATTTATTTATTTGTGGGATCTCGCCCGTGGCCAAGGATTGAACTGGTGCTGCAGAGGCTGTGGGCAGCCTCACAACCAAGCGCTCAACCACCGCACCCCAGGGGAGGCCCTCTTTTTTTTTTATTTATGCATACAAGAGATGGGGTACAGGTCAGAGGTGTGGGGGGTGAGAGGATTCACCAGAGACAGAGTGGGGAATGGAACAGACAGACTGACTGAAATACACTGCTGAGGGGAGCAGCGGGTAAGTCAGGAGAGGTCTGCTGCGCCATGTGGGTAGCTCCCTGGCAGGGGATCAACCTTGTGCTGCAGAGGCTGCGGATAACTTCATAGTTTATGTCTTAACCCCTTGCGCCACCAGGGAGGCCCCCGCCTTTTTAAATGGAGGTCAAAGACAGAAATTGGACATGTGCCCAGAGTGATGCCCTTCTGTGAATGCTGCTGGGCAGGGCCATCGCACCAAGAGTACTGTTGGTACTGAGACCTTCTGGATACAAAATCTGTGAAGAGAGTGAGGTTTCAGCAGAGGTGACACACACCCTAGCAGGCCCCACCTACTGCTAACACCCACTGTAGACACCACTCACATGTCAGCTAGAGGAGCAGCCAGTGCCAGTCCCACCTCAGTCTTCCTTGCCCATTTCTTTTTAAAATAAAAAAAAAATATTGATTTAATTATTTATGCATGTAAGAGCTGGGGTACAGGCCAGAGGTGCGGGGGATGAGAGGATTCAGAGATAGAGTGGGGAACAGAACAGCAGACTGACTGAAACACACTGCTGAGGGGAGCAGCTGGTGAGACAGGAGAGGTCTGCTGTGCCATGTGGCTAGCTCCCTGACTAGGGATCGAACTCGTGCTACAGAAGCTGTGGATAGCTTCATAGTGCTGGGACTTAATGCCTTGCGCCACCAGGGAGGCCCCTTACCCATTTCTTTATGTGCTGACAGTCCCTCCTTAAAGGGTCATGACTGTTCCCTCTGTGTGTGTGTGTGTGTGTGTGTGTGTGTGACAGAGAGAGAGAGAGAGAGAGAGAGAGAGAGAGAAAGGGGGGGAGAGAGAGAGAGAGAGAGAGAGGCCTGGGTGGGCTGAAGAATATTCATGCTCACCCACAATTCCCTCTCTCTCCAGTTGGAGGAATCAGACTTAGCATCCTGGGCTCCCCATGCTTGGTCTGAGTGCTCAGAAGGAATTGGGACATTCAGGGACACCACAGCCTGGCCAAGGCATTCCCTGTTTTCCAATCCTGGCTAAAGTTAGAATCACTGTTGGGATTTAAAACCCAATCCTGGGCCTCCCCGGTGGCGCAGTGGTTGAGCGCTGGGTTGCGAAGCTGCCCGCAGCCTCTGCAGTGCCGGTTCGATCCCCGGCTGCTCCCCGGCCACCGGAGGAGGGTCCCACATGGTGCGCAGACCTCTCCTGCCGCCCGCTGCTCCCCTCAGCAGTGTACTTCCATCCTTCTGTCTGCTCTGCTCCCTGCTCTGGCTCTGGTGAATTCTCTCACCCTCCCGCACTTCTGACTGTACCCAGTGCTTGTATAAATAAATAAATCTTTAAAAAAAAAAAAAAAACAAAAAAAACCCAATCCTGACCCACATGGTTGACTAAGAATCTCTGCAGATGGAGTCTGGAATTTAAAATGTTTCAGAAGAGCTCTACAGATGATGATTCCAGGTGCATCCTTTCTCTTTTTTGTTTTGTTTGGTTTTCTTTCTTTCTTTCTTTTTTTTTTTTAGAAAGGTGCTATTTAAGGTGCTTTTTCCTTGGACTAAGAGGAAAAGTCATATGTAGCATTTCAGTTTAAGTTCTTTTCCCTCCCCAAAAGTTGTAATTCTGCTTCCTACCTCTAGTAAAGAGGCCGGGCAGTGAGTGAGGTACAGTTCACTGGACCCCACCACTGCTGGGACCAGGTTGAAGCTGCATCTTATCCAGGAAACTTGGGCTGAGTTCCAGAGACCAGATGAACTTTGGCTTGTAGTGGGAACTCTGGAGCTTCTGCCCTGTGTAGCTCAGGAGGGACAGAAAGTAAAATGCAACCTTGATTTTTTTCAGCCAATGTTTATTGAACAGATATTATGTGCCTAGGACTAATGTAGGTGCTGAGAATATGGCAGTAAGTAAAATAGACAAAAGTGCTTGCCTTCATGAAACTGATATTCTAGTGGGGGAGACAGATGATAAATAAAATAAAGAAATAAGCACAGCTTTTCCTCAACTTACAATGGGTTTATATCCCAAACTTAGGATCCTAATTTGAAAATATCATAAGATGAAAATGCATTTAATACACCTAACTTCCCTTAAACATACTGAGAACACTTTAGCTTATAGCTGGGCAAAGTCATGCAACACAGAGCCTATTCTATAATACAGTGTTGACTACCTCATGTAATTTACTTTTTTTTGTTTTGTTTTTTAAAGATTTATTTATTTATGCATAGAAGAACTGGGGTGTAGGCTAGACGTGCAGGAGGTGGGAGGTACCCAGGTGGCGCAGCAGACCTCTCCTGACTCGCCTGCTGCTCCCCTCAGCAGTGTACATCAGTCAATCCGCCTGTTCTATTCTCCACTCTGTCTCTGGTGAATCCTCTCATCCCCCAATGCCTGTGGCCTGTACCCCAGTTCTTGTATGCATAAATAAATAAATCTTTAAAGAGAAAGAGAGAGAGAGAGAGAGAGAGAGAGAGAGGATTCACCAGAAAGCATGGGGAGCAGAACAGGCAGATCTACTGAAACACACTGCCAAGGAGAGCAGCAGGCGAGACAGGAGAGGTCTGCTGCACCACACCACATGGGTTGCTCTCTGGCAGGCCTGGGGATCGAACTCATGCTGTGGTGGCTGCTGACAGCTCGATAGCACTGTCTTTAACCCCTGCATCACCAGGGAGGCCCCTCATGTAATTTATTGACTGTGGCACAGAATGGCTGCATATTCTCACCATTAACACACCCTGCTAAAAGCACACTGGGTCTGAAGAATGTTTGAAGTACTGACCTAAAATTAATTGCAGCAAGAAGCCACAGGGTCACCAACTTCTCTCTCTTCTGACAATGCTCGAGAGTTTGCTAGAAGGCACTGGGCGTGGACTTGTTGATGGTTTAAGAAGCACAGTGTTCTTCAGGAAGATAATCAAGTTTGGACTGGACATATTGTTTTTTCTTGACATTATGCTTTTCTCTATTGTAAGCAAGAACATCTTGTATCTGCCTGTCTGCCCGTGACTCTTTTGAATCTCTTGTCGTTGACATCTGCTTCTGCCAAATTCCATTCCTCACTACTGATAGTAGCAAATGCCTCCACCAGTTTCTTCACTGTGAACTTTCTCATTACCTTAGAATAATGTCTGTCTCTGCCTCAATGCCTTTACTTTTTTTCTCCCTTCAGTTTGATCTGTCCCTCACTGGAAAACTCTTAGGCCTCAGTACCAGTTGGTGGGTAACTATCTTGAATTTCATCTTGTAGATAAGATAGGATGTGAAAACACAAAACACAATATCCAAAAAAGGCTGGCAGCTCAGTGCACCATGGAATATGATTGCTTACCTTTGTGATCACCTCACTGAGTGGGAGCTATGGCTCCCTGATGCTTCCCAGCTTCAAAAAAGAGCAGGGCTTGATGGACCTGGTTGAGGTGAATAATGAGGCTGGGGGAAACCAAAAGTCAAAACTCAGAGAGGGCAGAAGCTGGAGGAGAAAACCCTGCATTCTCCCACAACCCCTCCTGCTTGCTCAGTGTCTTGCTCCCTACTCAGGTAAGTTCTGCAGAGGGCCTGCTAACACCTGTGGACACACAGGCCAAGGTCCTGCCCTTTGAGGGGCAGGAGTAAGACCTCGCATGATTTAAATAAAATGTCATTCATTATTTTCCCCCGAAGTTCCTAGCACAGAGGCTATTTGTTGCAAAAAGGAAGAGAGAAACCTGATGGGTAATGAGGAAGGCATTAGACAACTCTTTGATGGGAGAAATGGATTTTAGTGGCTTTATATGTGGTTGGTTAAATAGCAGCTGTCCCAGAAATATGCAAAAGAAGAAAGAACTCAGTAGCAGAGAGGTGCATTAATGGTAGATGGTGGGCAGAGATGTACCTCAGGCTGTTGTGCAGGAAGATGGGAAGAGGTAAAAGGGTGGGGAGTGGGTCATGGCAGAAGGGTCGCCAGGGGCTGTGTGGGACTATTTATTCTCTTTCTGTACTTGGAAACCTGTCAGTTTTCCCCAAGCTGCACGTGTTGCTCCATGAGCTGCTGTAGAGGAGCTAGCAGTCCTCGAGAAAGACCCACGGCTGTTTGGAGATAAAAGGAGCCTGACAGGGGGTGTGAGGCCCCATAGGCTGGCCCTGTGCTCCTACTCTGGGCTCCTTCTCAGCATGGCTGGCACCACTCCTAGGCCCTGGCCTGGCCTTGTTGGCTCCCTTCTGGTGCCTCCCTGCCCAGACCCTGGCTCTGAAGGGGCCCCCACTCCTCCCCCAGAAACAGGATCCCTCCCCTTACCCCCTCCTTTCCTCCCAGGGGCATATCTCCTGCCTGTCTGCATGGTCCCAGCCCTGCTGCTATTTCACACACACCTCCCTCCGGCCTCATTCCCTGTTTCCCAGGATGCCTCCCTCTGTCCCACCCGATGCCTGCCTCTGGTGACCTTGAGGCCTTCCTGAATAGTGGGGTGGGTGCCAGGACTTGGCACAAGCCTTGTCCATGCCCTGAGAATGCCAACTTTGAAACTAGATAGTTCACACTCATCAAAGAAGAAAAGAGCTGTTTATGCTCCTCACTGACCTCCTCCCAGCCACCCACGTCAGGGCTGACACACATCTGCTGTCTTGTCTTTCAGCCATCTTTGCATCCAGAGAGCAGACCCTCCCCCTGGACAGGCAGCTCTGCCCCGTGCCTGCTGAGGGAGGCAGATTTTGCCCCCTGTGTTCTTCACACTGCTACATAGCTCTAAATGGTCACACTCTTCAGACTGTGTACAGTGCAGGAACACCCAGAGACAAGGAGCCAGGGGCATGCAGCAGGCAGAAAATGGACCACGTCTTGGAAAAAGGTGAATGGCTAGGACAGCCCTGCAAAGAGCAGCCCAAGGCCTGGCACCTATGTCCTCTGAAGGGGTCAGGTGGTAGCCCAAGGCCTCAGAAGAAAGCCTCAGCAAATGGTGGGATTGGTGGCAGAAGGAGAGAGTGTGGAAACTGGCTGTTTGGGGGAGGGCATAAGTGAGACTAGTCTATAAAAGAGGCCAGCTTTTTCCAGTTTTTTTCCCTCCCAGCCAGGGACAGTCACGGCAGGCCCACCCCTCCCATTGGTAAGGATAGTGTGGCCTCTGCCCACCACATGACTACCCAAGAGAGCCCCACCTTCTTAATAGGGGTGGGGGTGGGGAAGCGGCAGAGTTGGGGGGGCTGCTGTGAGGCCTTCATGGGGAAGGGTGGCAAGGGCTGCACCAGCCTCAGGAACAGGTTTCAGCCGGCTGCCTGCATCTTCCCTGGAACCACGTCATCCCTCCCTCCCAGGCAGGCCTGTCTGTCACAGGCCATTAAGCTCGCGGCAGGTGCTGTGCTGGGCTGAGGCTGGGGGAGGGGCGGGGCACCTCAGGAACTGCCAGCCTGTCCCTTCCCAGGCCTTGGTTGCTGGGAATAAATGCTTCTCCACAGGAGTCCCTATTCTTCCCTGAAAAAGCTACACCCTCACACCTTCCTGGAGATTCCCTACACACATTTCACAAACACTCCACATACACAAAAGCATCCCCACACACACCCAAATCTACATGCAGCATAAACACAGAGCACACAGGAGCACAGCACATATACATAGATCACATGCATGAATGCCACACATGCCATGCATGTACCACGGCACGCACATAGCACATACATACACACTACACCACACATATGAGGCCATTGCACGCAAAACCACACACACACGCCACAGTTACCACACACACCTGCAGCACCCAGTTCCCAAACTCTGACCCTTCCTTCCTGGCAGCCCCCAAATGCCGCCTCCTGTCCCAAGACTGCCAGTGAGCGGCCCTTTGGGTGCTCCAAGGCTGCACACAAAGCACCCTGTGCATCCCAGGGCAGAGTTTTCTTGTCAGCAAGCCAGGCACGTGACGTGACGTGACGTGACGTGACGTGACGTGACATGATGTGATGTGACGTGACTGGCCAGGCCTGCAGGTCCTGCTAAGGGCCCCTCCCATCTCCCTCCCTCCTCCTTCCCCTGTCTGGGCTGCAGGGAACTGAGTTCTTCCATCTCCTTAGAGTTGAAAATGGAAGAGGAGAGAAAAGCCTGAGGCTGATCCGTACCAAGGACCCCAAGGGCCCTGAAATGAGAAGTTGCCCCCACTCGAAGGAAGATATATTCACACCTACCAGGTCAGAGGCTCCTCTACTTACTCTCTGTACCCACTCCCCTTAGCTTGCAAACACCTCAGCTGGGCAGACAAAACCTACCAGACCCAGGTTCCTGGGGCCCCTCAGCCGTGTGTGCCACCATCCTCACTCCCTGGACACCCACACGTGTTGGGCTCCCTGTTGTTCCTTGCCGGCGCTGGTCTGTTAAGTCCATGCCCCTTTGCACACACTGTTCCTTTTACTTTGTTTTTTTTAGAGATTTATTTATTTATGCATACAAGAACTGGGGTACAGGCCAGAGGAGTGGGGGGTGAGAGATTCACCAGAGACAGAGTGGGGAACAGAACAGGCAGACTGACTGAAATACACTGCTGAGGGGAGCAGTGGGCGAGACAGGAGAGGTCTGCTGCGCCATGTGGGTAGCTCCCTGGCTGGGGATCGAACTCATGCTACAGTGGCTGCAGATACCTTCACAGGTTGCATCTTAAGTCCTTGCACCACCAAGAAGTCCCTGTTCCTTCTACTTTAAATGACTTTTCCTACCTGGAGAGTTAATTCATCCTTTGTTCTTCAGGCTGCCTCTTCTAGGAAGCCATCCTTGATGGCACCTATTTTCAACAGATTTTGATGGCCCATCTTTGTGCATTCATAACTTTCTTATTCAACGCTTTTTTCACTTTATATCTCACTGATTAACAAGCCCAACTTCCTCACTATGAACTCTGAGCTAAGGGGGCAGGGAACTGTTTAATCCAAAACCTTCACCATAGTGCTGACACATAGTAGGTGCTCAAGAAATACTTGTCAACTGAATGTGGGACTTAATCAGAAGACGCCAAAATAAAGAGGAACACCAGATCTCTGAGGAGGGAAAGAAATTTCCAGTGGTAAATATCAAGGAAGACTTCCTGGAGGAAATGAACAGATTGATCGAGGCAGGGAGGAGCATAAACAAACATCTGGCCCAGGAGGTGGAGGAGCTAGATACGGAGGTGGGTGGAGAAGCCACAGGTCTGCCTCAACATGTGTGAGCTGGAATAGTTTTGGAGCCTCACACCACTCCACACGGCTGCTGTGTCCCCTCAACTTACAGGGAAGGGAAGAACTGTGGTTCACCTTAGCTCAGCTGACGGAGCACAGAGCCACCACTCAAGGCCATAACCCAGACCTGCTTATGTAGAAGGAAGACATGACCAGGAAGGTGCTTCAGAGCCAGACTAGGAAAGCCATGATGGCGCCCTAAAGAATTTGGGTGTTTTTTTTTTCTGATGGTTTTAGAGACCTTGGGTCAAGTTGTAAGCAAATACCCCCTGGTGATGTCCTGATGTTGCTGGGAATGTTCCAGCATGGGTAGGAGTGTATGCAGAGGTCGACACTTTGGCTAGATTCTGAATCGGGTGATGGAGAGTGTGTATGTGATGAGGAGCCCAGAAGGCCCAGGCTGAGCCTCAGTTGATGCCTGCAGGCAGAAACAAGTTGGACAGGGCAGAAAGATTGGCAGGACTGTGAGGGGCCAAAGTAAGGGAGGGAAAGAAGCAGAGAGGAAGAGCCTTAAAGATGGTTCACGGTGTGGGTGTCTCCTTCCTGGGCAGGTACAGCTCTGGACGGTGCCTGTGCCTTGTTCAGAATTGGGCTAGTAGGTGGTATATTGCAGGTGCCCCTCACCAAGATTTTTCTTACACCCATGAAGGGCAGGTCCTGCTGTTGGACCATGACTCTGCTCTGGCACCGACAGCTGAGCGGAGAGATAAACATCCGGGTTCAGAGTGTGATGTTCATCCATTCTGTGTGCCTTTGGAGGCCCTTTGTGTGAAGTCACAGCTGGGCTGGGGAGGAGCTGGCAGGGTGCATGCCCAGGCCCTGCCCACAGGGAGGCAGTGTGCAGTCTGGAGGGAGGCAGAGGAGTTGATGGGGCACTACAGTGAAGTGGAGAGGGGTGCAGGAGAGAGACCTTCTGGGGCCCAGAGGACATCTAGGAAGATGTGGCATTTAAGGATAAATCTGATCAGACCTATAGAGCTAACCGACTGGGAAGTCTAGGGGCAAGTGCTGCCATCAGCAAAGTCCCAAGCATGGGATGATAGGGCAAGTGCCCCAGTGTCCTCTCAGCTGTCCTGTGTGGGAAAACGACAGGACGGGGTGAACCTGTGGATGGAGTTAATAGACGGGATAGCTCACTGTAACTAATGAGTCTTATTTGGCTCCTGATCTTCTAAAATGACAATATACTTCGCTCTGCTCAGGCTGCCAGAGCAAAAGACCACAGATTGAGAGGCTTAAATGACAAAAATTTATTTCTTACAGTTCTGTGAACCTGTGAGCCCCAAAGGCTTGATCTGGAGGTTTAAAGTTCCAGATCAAGGTCTGACAGGGTTCCATTTCTGGGGTGGTCTCTCTTCCTGGCTCAGAGATGGTCACTTACCCTCACGTGACCTTTCCTCCAGAGAAAGAGACCTTCCTCGTCCTAGAAAACCAATCCTCTCAGATTAAGACCCCATTATTACCTCATTTAACCTCATCCCCTAAAGGCCCTATTTCCAAATACAGTCACATGGGGAGCTAAGACTTGGACTTGAGAAGGGGGAGGGGCAGGGGAAGGGGAGGGACACAGTTCAGTTCACTGTAGCTGACATTTATGAGGAATTGGCCCTTCAAATGCAGGCCAGATGTTTGATTACATTGAGAAATTATTGCTATCTCTTGGGTTATAACAACAATAATAGTGTTTTATATATTTGTACACAAATATATAACAAAATACATGTGAGTCTGTCCATAGAGACAATAACATTACCATTATATGTATGCGTGTGACTCTATGGGCACCCTGACCTTCTAGAGACACTCTGAAATGTGTACGGTGAAATCACCTAATGTCTGGGATTTGCTTCAAAATGGCACAGGGAGGGGAGGGGATGTGACTGTAAGCAGAGTAGAACTGGCCATGAGTTGATGGCTATTGGTTCTGGGTTTGAGGGTCACAGGGGTGCACGGTATTTTTCAATGTACTTTTGCATGCATTCTTCATTCCCCACAATAAGAGATAAAAAAAAAAAATGAGGAAGATTAGCGAGATTTAGGGTCGGGGGAAGGGCCAGGCATCTGGATGCAGAAACTGCTCAAGCGAAGCTGGGTGTGTGCGGCCCCAGCACCGCCCAGGCACTGGAGCATGAGCTGTGCCTGGCATCTCAGGTATCATGACCGAGGCCCAGTTCCTACACTCCAGGACAAAAACCAGTCTCAGTGGAGGATGAGCAAGCTCAGACCCCAGTGGGAAAACTGTGAAGGAACTGGGAGACTTGAATGAAGGGATCAGAAGCCGTGGCCATTTGTTCTGGAAGGGCTGGGAGGCCAGTTAGTAGAGCAGGCAGCAGGCAGAGACCAGCCCTGTATGCTGGGGGCAGAGAAGCTTGAGGATAGAGAGGAAGATCATGGTCACCAGGCTCCCAAGCAAACCTTTGCTGGATTTATAGGATGCTCAACTTTACTTTAGAAATTTGGTTTCTCGTATGTTCTTACTGGGTGACTTTGGGCAAGTTTCTTAACCTGTCTGACCCTAAGTTTTTTCATCTGTAAATGAGAATAGTAATATGACCCACTTCATAAGGCTATTGGAGGATTAGATGAAATAGTAGTTGCAAATCACTAGAAAGGGTTTGGGTTAGCTATTATTATCATCAGAGTTTCAGGGAGGAAGCCGTTGTCCCTTGGGACAATGAGGTGGAAACAGAAGTCATTAAAATGACTGGACCCCAGTGGAAAGTTAGAAAGATGACAGTATTTCTCCCTGCCAGCCTTTAATAGATTGGTGATTTATTTTCTATGAAAGAAGCTGTTTTCCCTTATAGCAGTGAATAGGGTCAGATGCAGATAAGAAGTTGTTGAGGAAGGGCCAAGTGAATGTGTGGAGTGTATGAGAGAGAACGTGTGGTTGGCCATTCAGAGCAAGAAGCCAGCTGAAGGCCCAGCTCCAGAAATTACTTCTGGTCTGCACTCTGCATTTTCCAGAGGATGGCTTCCGGAACTGGAATCTACAACAGTAGATCGCCCCACTCTCCCCATGAGAGAGGGGCTGGGCCTGAGCAGGCTCCTCCCCTGTGGAAAGTACCAGCCTTTTCTCTTCAGGCCTGTGCTGAGGGACCATTTCCTCTTCCTCACTCTGAAGCAGGAACAGGCCTGCCTGATCCTGGGATAGAAGGGAGCATATTCTGGGATGTCTTAGCCCATCTGTGACCTCAGGTGGGGGTGGCTGAGTGTGCTGGCTGGAGGCCTTCCACCTGCTTCAGGGGTAGCTGAGGGCCACCCTGGAGTCCTCCAGGATGGAGGGGGCGAGTATGGAGAAGCTGGCATCTGTGTCCAATCTGGTGACTGTGTTTGAGAACAGCAGGTACGGGGCAGTGGAGGTGGGATGGGTCACCATGGCAGCCTGTCAGCCTCCCTCCAGCTCCTGGGCACACCCTCAGGCCCTGGGGCAGCACTGGCCCTCCCAATCTCCAGGCCGAAGACCAGGCCCTTCAGCCATGGGCTTCTCAGATCACAGGAGGGTGTTGTGGGGCACCAGGACCTGGGCAGGGGTGAGAGAGTGTGTGTTATACTGGGGAGAGTCCAGACTTGCATGTAATTATGAGTGAGCGTGGGTGGACCAAACAGTGTTTAGGCTACAAAACTTTACCCACTGTCCCTGCAGCAGACACGATAGCTAATACTTACCAAGCATTACTCTGTGTGTAGGATAGTCATGGGGTGTATCACTCAAATGAGGACACAATTGAAACTGTGAGCAGATGCCTTTGATTATATGGGGGAGAAGTGGAGAGGGGGTGGACAGTAGGAAGAGCTGAGACTGTGCTGAGCAAAACAGGAATATGGTCAGCCTGTCTATGGGGAGCTGTTCTATATATGTTTTCTTACTTAATCTGATTTCATCATCAAACAGCCCACTGGAGGTATTTCCATCTTTTCAATGAAAAAAATGGAGGCCAGAGAGGTGGAGAGGCTCCACGTGCTTTTAGTTCACAGACAAGGGACTGTTCAGGGACTTTTGTCTGAAGGAAAAAGGCTAAGTCATATGTGGGGATGTCATTGGTGACTCTGGTAGGAATAGTGTGTGTGTGTGTGTGTGTGTGTGTGTGTGTGTGTGTGAGAGAGAGAGAGAGAGAGAGAGAGAGAGAGAGATATTAATCCACTCTGCAGGTATTTCTTAAGCCCAGGGCAATGTTAGGCACTGTTATTGGAGGTGTTCTCTGGAAATAAACTCTGAAATTTACTGGCGGGAGTTTTGGGAACAACCCCTTGCTGGTGTGGAACAGCATGGGGCAGAGGGAGAATTTGAACTGCTGAGCACTTGCAGCAGAGACCTCAGCTTGTCTCTGGTCACCCTGGATCTGGGGTGCCTCTAAGGTTGTTCAAGTTAAGGCAAAAACTTGGGTCTTGTACCCCCACATGGGCCAGTCACAGTAAATATGAACTTGACTTTGGTTGAGGTAGCTCTCTTCCAGGAAGGGCAGTTTCCAGAGAGGGACTCAGTCATTAATCCATCAGCTGCCATACTACCAGCAGCTAAGGGAAACAGGGGGTGTGGGTGGCAGAGCAGACACTATAGTGGATGCAGGAGCCCAAGAAGGATCCCCACCCCAAGGAGTTCTGTCTGTGGATGCTAAGATCATAGGAATACCATAATGCCAGGCCATGGACAGTGGCTACGCTAGGAGGGGCCCAGATGTTGTGTTGAGAGCACTCAAAGAAGACAGTGCCTCCTGTGGCTTCACAGCAGAGGTGGCCTAGATGTGGGCTGAGAAGGTCAGCTCAACTCCCTGAGCAGGTTGACCTACCCTGCCTCTCCCAGAGACCTTTGCCAAGCATATTCTGTTCAGCACCGAGGACAGCTCTAGGTGCCACCTCCCTGGCCCACCACCACTCTGGCCCACTACCCCTTTGTGTGTGTGGAGATGGCACACTGCGGTCAGGTCCCCAGCATATGTGCTCTGTCCTAGCAACACCCTAGAAGGATGAGGCAACCCTCAGACCAAGTGGGTTAGAGGAGGCCTCATCAGGGTGTGAGAGTCACACTTGGGGTGTGAGAGGCCCCTTGCTGGCTGACTTGGTCCAGGTTGACCTGTACCTTAATTGATCTGAAACTGAGAGATGAAGAGGAAACAGAAGCTGGCTTGGGGTCCTTGAAGAGAAATACAGAAGCTAAAACCAAATGTAGAACAGAAAGCCTGAGGCCCAACTCCTTCGAATAGCTACAGAGCAGTGGGTTGAGGAAGTGGGCATTGGGGTGTGTACCAGAGAGGGTGGGCAAGCCCAGAGGAGCCATCTAGGCCTGGGTCCCAATTTTCTCTCTGCTATAAACCTGCTGTGTGACTTGGAGGAGGTCACATTCTCTCTCTGGACCTCTTTCTCCTTGACTGAAACGGGGAGGAGCAGTTTAGGGTGCAGGCTCGGGAGGTTAGCCTACTTGGTCTGAATCCCACTTCTGCCACTTCCTAGCTGCAACTTATTCTCTCTGTTTCTCAGTTTCCTTGGTTGAATAATGGGGTGGGCTGCCATCAAAGCCTCTCTACACCTACGGGAATGGAGCACAGCCAGGTCACTGGATATACTCAATGAGGGTGAACCCTGTACCTAAGGACCCAGTAGGTAGGGTAGCAAAGCCTACAAAGGCTCATTCATGGGGGAACATGGAAACTGCTCCCACTCAGGATTTCCCCCCACTAGAAGCATGTAGTACACAACTAAACACCACAGCTTTAGCAGCTCTGCCCTCATTTTAGAGTGTTACATGGCTCCCTTCATGCCTCAGTTACTAAGGTTTTAGGTCTTTGCAGCTACAGAGATTAAAAACAGGGGTCAATCCACAAGTGAGAGGAGTCTAGGTTTGGGGGGTGGTGTTTACACTCTGTTCAGAAGGAGTGTTTCCTCGCTGCTCTCTGAACAGGGAAGTGTGTAGTTCCCCAGAGAAGAAAACTCAGTTCACACTGACTCATTCTGAAGACTGGAGTTCCCTCCAAGAAAGGTGTTAGAGGCAGAAGTAGAAGTCTTACTTACCAGACTCCTCCTGAGCACTGGACACTTGGGATACTGTTTGCTTTTGATTTGCATTAATCACCCCAAAATCCCCACCTAGCAGGTGCTGCTATTCTCCCTACTCTATAACCAGGAAACCCTCAGGTCTGTTCTGTTCTCTTCAGGAACCCTGGCACAGAGCCCACGGTCCACAAGCCAGAGACCGGGCTTCACCATCCTGGGTGCCTGCCTCCCTCATCCTCAGGAGCATGGGAGATGCCCACCATCGGGGAGACCCTGGCATCTGGGTCCAGGACAGTCAGTAGGAGGTACCTGAGCTCCCTGAAGAACAAACTCTCCAACGAGACCTGGAGGAAATCTTGCCAGCCCGGGACCTACCCTGGACCCGAGGCACAGGTGCTTAAGGGCTGGGGCTGAAGTAGGGCTCTGAGGACCACCCTCCAGGGTCCACCCACAAATTGTCTCCCAGCCAGAAACAGCATTTCCACAAGTGGGGTTCTCTGTGACTGGTGATTAGTTAGAAGTTAGATTTTCCCCTCTTAACAGCCTTTAATCGCCCGTATGCTCCCACTGCAGGCATCATTTAATTGATCCCTCTCTGTAAGAGTCTTTTAGACCAGGACATTGAAAATCAGACAGCTTAAGGAACTTGTCCAGGGTCACACAACTTGGACCAGTCTCCACCTTGTGAGGCTTTCCCAGGTGTGGCCTCAGTTTACCCACTGAGGAAGGCAGTTTCCACATCCGTAGATTTTGAGGGCTTGGATGCAGATACTGGGTACCCTGGAGCCAGCTGCCAAGGTTCACGTCCAGCTTCCTGCTTGTTCACTATGTGACCTTGTTCACTATGTCACTATACCTTCTTTGCACCTCAGTTTCCTCATCTGTAAGATGGGATGGTGATCACAGTAGTGTGTCCTGGTTATTGTGCGCTGGTTATCACCATCTACCTGGTTTAGATGGTTAACAAACCATCTAAAATGTAGTGGCCAAAGACAATTGATTATTTCTCACAATTTCATGTGTTGACTGAAATGCTATTGGATGGCTTTCCTGAGGGTCTTTAACAGGGTTTCTCACATGTCTGCAGTTAGATGGTGGCTCAAATGCCCAAGACAGCTCAACAATCAAAGCTGCTCCCTGGGCAGGGGCAGCTGAAGGCTGGGTGCAGCTGGGATGCTGGCCTGGCTGGGCCCTGGTTCTCGCCTTGTAGTCTTAGGATCTCTCCACTAGGGCAGCCAGGCCTCCAAGAGGTTGCAGTTCATGGCTCCCAAGAGAACACAAGTGAAAGCTTCTAGACATCTAAATGCTTAGGCCCAGATCTAGCACAGCCTCATGTTTGCTCCTGTTCTCTTAGTTAAAGCAATCCCGGTGCCAGCCCAGATGCACTGCTGCAGTAAACAACATTGGGGTACATTTCACCCTTAGAGACCCTTAGGGCCCAGGGCCCTCATTAGAAGAGACAAAGTTGTCCCTCTCCTTTTCTTCCTGGACCCCCTGCAGGAGCCTGAGAAGAGGATTGTCAAGGAGCTGCTGGAGACTGAGCAAGCCTACGTGGCACGCCTGCACCTGCTAGACCAGGCCAGTGGGCAGGACACTCCCTTGAGCCCTGGCACAGTGTCACCTCACCCCACCCACTCCGCCCACCTCATCAGGGCTGAGAGTCAAGACCCCTGCATTTGATTCTAGGAAACCTTAATCCTTTGGCTCACTGGCTGGAGTTGGGCAGAAATCAGGCCATTGGTGTCACTCCTATTCCCCCATCAGTGCCTGGGTTGGCCTCACAAGCAGCAGAGTATGCACTAGCCCATCCTTCCAGGCCCCACACAGCAATCTCATCTGTCACCCCAATAACAACATCCTCATCATCACTTGCCCCTTTGTACTTTCTTAAGGAACCTCGAGGCTAGAGGCTTAAATCATTGACCATCACCAGAGACATTCTTAGTCTGGTCGACAGGCCCAGGATGGGCCCATTTCTTCGCTGCCAACCTTTGGCCCAGTCTCTGCATCACTAGGTCTTAGTTTGCCCATCTGTAAAGTGGCCAGAATCCAGTCTTCCCTTTCTTTCTCCTGCTGGGGTAGTTGCAAGGAAGACTGGAGATTAAGGAGGTGAAGGCTGGGGTTTCTGGCAGTCCCCTTGGGCTGTGCTCGTCTTCCCTGGGCTGGCACGTGGGTGGCTCCCTCTCTGCCGCAGGCTGGCTGACCGCATGTGGCTGCAGGTGTTCTACCAGGAGCTGCTGAAGGAGGCCCGCAGCACCAAGGCTTTCCCTGAGGATGTGGTCAAGCTCATCTTCTCCAACATCTCCTCCATCTACCAGTTCCACTCGCAGTTCTTCCTCCCAGAGCTGCAGAGGCGGCTGGATGACTGGTGAGCTCCTGAGGCCCTTGACACAGCTCTGGCCCTCTGGGTGCAGCCCCCAGGGCACTAGGCTTGGCCTATAAAGCCCATGTCCTTACTGTGTGGCCATGACAGTCTCCTCTAGACCCATGAGGGGCTTGGATGAATGAGCCCTGGGTGACCTTGAGTATGTATATGTGTGTACGTGTGTGTGTGTGTGTGTGTGTGTGTGTGTCTCCTGGGCAAGGGAATGGAGCAGGTCCCTGTTAGGCCCAATGACTGGGGAGGCAGTGGGGATAGTCAGTGCTCACTGAGAGCTTCCCACATGCCCAATCTTGGATTTTACACCTATTAACTCACGTAACCTGCAAGTCAGCCCGCTGTGTACTGATGGATCACTGATCTGCAGGAAGCCTCCTTTTGTGTTAGAGGTGACCACTGAAGTTTTTAGTGGTGAAATGACTTACTTTATGTATTTTGTCGTGATGTCTGGGATGTCCTTTAAAATGTTAGAAATAGTGTCTATCCAGTGAGAGATGTGTAAGGGGAAGTTATTATAGTCTTTCTAAAATATTCTATTTATATTCATATTAAATTTATAATTCCTTACATTTTCCCTAACAAACTATGTTTGAAGAAAATAACAGTGCTGGGCGGGGGGTGGGGGGGAGGTCATGTATCATCATTTCCATTTTTTTTAATGGGAGACTTGAGGTACAGAGAGGCTAAGTGATTTGCCGAAGAACACACAGCTAGAGGAAGTCACACAGTTAGGAATCAAACCAAGAGGCCGCCTCCAGAAGTGGCTCCTTCCCTCTGTTGTGACTATCCCTGGCTTGAATGACCTCCAGGTCCTACCACAGAATGATCCTGGATAAGCTCTTTCTTATTCTAAGACAGGCAGGCAACTGTCCCCCTCCCCCACCCGTGTTTAATTGTGAGAATGAGATGAGAGGAGACATGCAGCACATCTTGGAGGGTGTTTGGCATGGTCCTCATTATTGTTATGTGTGCAGCATCAAGTGGTTATTGAACCCCTGCTGTGGGTCCCACACTTGCTGGGTCTTTGGGAAGCCCAGTCCTTGAAAGAATCGAGCATCTGCCCTCAGTGTCTCACAGCCTAAGACACCGTGAGAGCACGTGGGTGAGCGTGACATGTCCCCATCCCTGCACGCAGAAGTGAAGCAGAAAGGCTGTTTAGGGGTCTTGGGGAGCCTGGTCTAACCTGATCTTCTCTGGAGTGAGGAGAAGAGTCCCCGGCTGAAGGCAATACCTGGGGGCCCCTCCTGCAGGACCGCCACCCCCCGCATTGGTGACGTGATTCAGAAATTGGCCCCCTTCCTGAAGATGTACAGTGAGTATGTCAAGAACTTTGAGCGAGCTGCTGAGCTGCTGGCTGCCTGGACTGACAAGTCTCCACCCTTCCAGGAGGTTATTACCCGCATTCAGGTGAGGTGGTGGGGGCACGGCACGAGACCCTGCAATGGCTTGGTTTCCCCAAGTGGTTTTGGGCATCTCCCAGGCTGAGCTACTCTTCTAGGTCCCAGTACCCACCCATTCTGTCCACTCCTCTGTCCATCTGACCTGTCTCCTCCTTGCTATCCTCCCCAAGAACAGCAAGGCCTCGGGCAGCCTGACCCTGCAGCACCACATGCTGGAGCCTGTGCAGAGAATCCCACGCTACGAGCTGCTGCTCAAGGATTATGTCCAGAAGTTGCCAGCCCAGGCTCCAGACCGGGCTGATGCCCAGAGTGAGGATAACCCCAGGGGCAGGGCCCGGGGGTTGGGGAGGCCTGAGTCACTCCCATGTATTTACGGAACACCTTCTAAAATGACTATAATATCAACGGTGATTGTTGGTATTTCATAGATGTGGTCTATACCGTCAGCCGCTTTTCACAGATGAGGATCTGGCCTTAGCCCAGAAGCAACCCTTAAGTAACTTGCTCAAGATCACACAGCCAGAAAGGAGCAAAGTTGGGGTTTGAATCCATGCCTGTGTGATGCCGAAGCTCATGTTCTTTTCATTGCATCCTCTGGGGCTGATTTGGTTTGGGGAACAGTGGGAGTTGCAGAAGCCAAATGCCCAAGTCCAGAAAGCCACCCTAGCTGGGGAATGGCCTCCATCACCTGGACACCCCACATGCTAGGTTAAAGAACAGACTTCTCCTGAGGGTACTTGGGGCTGTCCCTGAGGTCACTTGGTTAACCTCAGGCACCTCCAGCTCCAGATTTTAGGGGATAACTCTGGCCCTGCCCCCCTTCAGAAGCCCTTGACATGATCTTCTCAGCCGCACAACACTCCAATGAAGCCATTACTGAGATGGTGAGCAGCCCCACCCTCGTGTGTAAGCAGCTGGCATCTCTGTGGGGTAGGGGTCACCCTTCCTCCCTGTGGTTTTCAGCCTCACCAGCCCCCCCAGGGTCACTCATCCCCTGATCTCGCCTCGTGACACCTGCCTCCGCTGCTGTCCTCCCCCTCATACCCCGTCCTGTCATACAAAGCAAGCCTTTCAGAAACCAGTAGGTCCTGACAGCCTTGCCTGAGGGAGCATCCCCTGTCCCAGGAGCGGCTGCAAGACCTGTGGGAGGTGTACCAGCGCCTGGGCCTCGAGGACGACATCGTAGACCCCTCCAACACCCTGCTACGTGAGGGTCCCGTCCTCAAGATCTCCTTCCGTCGCAGCGGCCCTATAGAGCGCTACCTTTTCTTGGTAGGGGATGTTGGGGCCACCTGTTACTGGGGAGGGGAGTCCATGGGCCACCCTGCCACGGGTGCTGCCTGCCGGGCATGGACCTGGCATTGCAGGAGGAATAGAGGAAATCCTGCTCTTTGTCCTCTGCTTTGGCACCCGGGTGACTCAGGACAAGTCACATGCTGCCTCCGGGCCTCAAGGATTCCCAGTGCAGGGCCTTCCCAGACATGCCCTAGGAATCAACAGTCAGAGTTTGAACGCGGTCTGTTTGGCACCAATCTGAGTTCTGGAAAATGCATAGCAGGATGAAATTAGGTTAGCTGCTAGAATGAACAGCCTGGGTTTGCACTGAGGACTTCAGGGGGTGACTGGAGAGCTGGACATTGGCCCTGCCTGGAGATCTGTCACAAGTCCCTGCTGCCCTCCGCCCACAAGACAGCAAGATGCTTCAGTGACTGTCCTAGATGGATCAGGGGCTAGACGACCCCTTTCTTGTCATACCTGTAATGTTCTGTGAGCTCGCCCAGAGAGTGAGGTCCAGTGAGTTCAGGTCCCCCAGGGAAACCTCGCCTGACCATCCCCCTGCCCTGTGCACCTCACAATCTTGTCTGTGTCTCCTTTAGTTCAACAACATGCTGCTGTACTGTGTGCCCAGGGTCATCCAGGTAGGCGCCCAGTTCCAGGTGAGGACCCGCATCGACGTGGCTGGGATGAAGGTGAGCAGCACTCCCACCACCATCAGGCTTCATCCTGGAGGTGGTCTGAGTCTGAAAAGTAGCAGGGAGCCAGCCGAGTTCTCAGTCCAGGAAACTGAGCCTGCCAGGTCTGGGGCCAACTTAGACATGGAAAGAATATGGGGTTAGAGCTCTTCCCTCTGGGCTCCTCACCTTACTGCACGGGGCCTTTCCCAGGTCCCACAGGCCCACTCTTTGGTGCATGCACACTCAGCCTCCCCTTGCTTTGCTTTCCCTACTGTCCATGCCAGTGCTTTGAAAACATGAAGATGTACACCAATCCCCTGGAGTCTTGTTGAAAGTTAGCTTCTGATTTAGTAGGTCTGAGGTAGGGCCTGAGAACTGCCTTTCCAACCAGAGATTCTGATGCTGAATCTGTGGGCCCACAGAACACACTTGGAGTCTACACTGTGTGCTCAGATGCTGGCTTCTGTGTGTCCCCACCCCCACAAATGAGCAGACAGCAATCCATAATAGTGCCATTGCCTGGGCCCTGCATCCTCTCATTCAAGCCTCGTGAAGGCCCTATGCAGTAGGGACTCTTTTTTTCTCCCCTTAGTTTTTTTTAATCTTGAAAAGCTAGTATTAATTTTATTAATTAAAATATAAATGAAACACATTACAAAATCAAATGGCATAAAAAATATATATCACGCCCCTTAGATCCTCTTCCTGAAGGCAGCCTTTGCTTCTTGGGAGACCGCCCAGAAGTAGCCTTTGCATGCACAACTAATAATATGTTTATTATCATTTCTTCACTTATGTTTCCCATAAACAGAGACATACTCCTTACACTATTCTGCACTGTGCTTTTTATTTATTTATTTATTTATTTTTGTTAATACATGCACTGGGTACAGTCAGAAGCACGGGAGGGTGAGAGAATTCACCAGAGCCAGAGCAGGGAGCAGAGCAGGCAGAAGGACCGAAGTACACTGCTGAGGGGAGCAACGGGCGGCAGGAGAGGTCTGCGCGCCATGTGGGACCCTCCTCCGGTGGCCGGGGAGCAGCCGGGGATCGAACCGGCGCCGCAGAGGCCGCGGGCAGCTTCGCAACCCAGCGCTCAACCGCTGCGCCACCGGGGAGGCCCCTGCACTGTGCTTTTTAAACTAACTACTAATTGTGGAGATTGTAGCATGTCAGTATATTAGGAGCTTCCTCATCCTTTTTCACAGCTGCATAGTATTTCAGCAGGAGGCTGTGCTGTCATTCAGTTGGCCTGTCCTTTACTGAGGAGTATTTAAATTGTTTTGAGTTATCAGTATCCTCACACGAGGCTGCAATGAATATCTATGTACAGTTTGCCTGTGTGAGTATATCTGTAATTAATCCCATTGAAAAATATAAGGAAATAAACAAATATATCCCAACAATGGAATATTATTGAACAATAGAAAGAAATGAGCTATCAATCTATCAACAACAGAAAGAAATGAGCTACCAAGCCATGAAAAGACATGAAGGAAACTTAAATATACATTAGTAGGTGAAAGAAGTCAAGCTGAGAAGCTATCTGATGTATGACAACTATATGACATTCTGGAAAATTAAAACTATGGAGACAATAAGATCAGTGGTTACAAGGGATGGGAGAGAGGGGAGGATGAAAAGGTAGAAACCAGAAGATTTTAAGGGAAGTAAAACATTTTGTATGATACTATAATGGTACATATATGCCATTTTATATTTGCCTAGAGTTACAGAATGCACCAGAGTGAACCATAATGTAAACTATGAATTCTGGGGGGTGATGATCCATCAATGTAGGTTCAGTTGTAACAAATGTGCCACTCTGGAAGGAGAGACTGTGCATGTGTGGGGCCAGGGGGTAGATGGGAAAATCTCTGTATTTTCTTCTCAATACACACAAGTTCCAGAAAGGTTAAGTAACTTGCTTGGAGTCACACAGCAAATCCTGGTTTGACTGATCAAACCAGATTGAAGACTCAGGTATACCAGAATCCCTTTCCTTAATACCACACTATACGGTCTTCTTTAAGATCTCAACCCAGAGGAATGAAGCTTATGACAGAATCACAGGCATGACAGAGGAAATAGTGGGTGGGTGGGGCCTTCTTGACCACGCCTTTCTGATTGCTCCTGAGTCCTGTGTGTCCTGAAGGCTGGTGCTGGAAGAAGCAGAGGTCAGGTCAGGCCTATTTAGTGCCCTTTCTTCTTTCCACTCCCTGTCCCCATCACTGATACCCCCACCTCTCCCAGGATTGGCCCCTGAGGGAGCTGCAGGAAGGAGTGGAGCCAGGACACTCCCTCCTCCGGAGACCCCCTGGACTTCTAAGGTCCCCCAGCAGGGCTGACTGAGTGCCTCTGCTCCTGACTGGGCTTACCTGGCATTTGGGTCCCAGTCATAGGGCCTTGGGGTGGGGCACCTCAAAGCCTTGAGGGTGGTGAAGGCCTATTGGCGGACATGAGCACCATCGGGGGATTCACAGACTGCACCCATCGGCTGAGCTGACTGAGGTCCTTTAAGAATGCAGTCTCTACCCCACTTTACAACTTGCAGTGGCCAGAATGTGCCAGAGGCAGGGTGTGTGCAGGCTGGGATGTCTGAGAATCTTGGCAAGTTAGACTGAGAAAAGCAGGGTGTGTCTGGTGCTCTGGTGGCCGCACAGCACCCTCTCCTGGCCGGCACAGGCCTGGCGGGACAGAGCTGCCCACCGCAGCTGCTGGGAACCATTTTCTGAGTCTGAGCTTTGAAGGCAGATTTGACCTTCGCCTACTACTATGTATGGCTTCCACTGCCTATGACCCTCTGACCTCCTCTTTTCTGGAGTCAGGGAGGCCTAGTTCTCAGTAGCTGATTCTCCCCAAGATCTGAGTTGACCCTTATGTTGTTCCATCCTGCTCAAAGCCAGTATGGGAAGCAGAAAATGGGTGTGGGCACACACATGGGGTCTCCATGTACAACATGTACAACTGCGCAGGTTGTGCACTGCACAAACACACCTCATCTAAGATGAGCACACCTCATCCACAGCAGACCTCCTAGGTCGTGCACTTACTATTCCCATTGTCCAGCAGATGGCAGTCAAGCATCTTGTTCCAACAAAATCTGACTATTATGCCAGTTTGCCAACAGATGTCAGTAACATGTTTTGAGGAAGGGGTATCTTTTTCTAATTAACACAAAGGCACTGTATGGGCAAGCAGGAGCCTGAATCCACCCAGCCCTGAGAAGGATTGAGACTGGACAGCCGGGCTCAGGGAATTTTCATCCAGAGACCCTCATCCTGCCCCTCTCATCCGAGACCCTATCTCGGACCCCAGTCAGGGTCTCCCTCAGTACCACTTTCTCTTTTAAAAGCATCATCTTTTTACCTACTTCTGGACTCCAAACCTGAGATTTCTCCCTTCTCACCCCACTCCCTCACTCAATTAGTCACCCAGTCTTGCGTGATTTCCTGGTATTGCCTCCCAGGTCGAAACCTCTTCTTCTTCCCAGGTGCCAGCAGGTCCTGGGCAGGCCTGAACAATAGTGTATCACCTCCTAACCAGGTTTTGGGTCACCAGTTTGTACCATTTTGCTCTGATAGTCCTTCACATGCTGCTGTTAGGGTGGCTTTCCCCAAACACCTCTTTTCACGTGAGTTTCTCCACTTGTGAACCTTCAGAGTCTCACATTGTTAAGGCCCTGAGTCCAAACCACATCAGGCCCCTTCTACAGGAATAGATGGGTTCTGTGGGCCCAGAGGACAGACTAGGACTAATGTGAGGAAGGATGTGCCTGCTGTCAACCCTTCTAGGATGAGGTGGGCCACCCTAAATGTGGAAAGGCCTAGCTGGGCCAGGGCAGGGAGTTAGCAGAAGGGCTCAAGGGTGAGATGGATACAGTGATAAGAGACCCCACACTCAGGCTCACCAGCCTCTAGCCTAGATCTTAGCTTCCCTTTGCCTGCCTGGGTGAGGCCTGGGCTTACAGGACTCTGCGGGGAGCAGAAATAGATTTTCTTCCACCTTATTGTTAGGAGTCAAAAACCTGAGTCAGAATCCTCATTTGGCTTTTAGATGCTGTGTGACCTCAGGCAGGTTTCTGATCCTCTCTGAATCTCCATTTCCTCTTTTCCTAAATGAGGGTGCCAATATCTGCCTCCCAAGATTTCTGGGAACATTTTCTTTAACTTTTTACTATGGATATTTTTAAACCGAGAAAATCATACAATGAACACCCATATACTCATCACCTGGCTTCAAAATTGTCAACTTAAAGCCAGTCTTGTATCTTTAAAAAAAAAAAAAAAAAGATTTATTTATGCATACAAGAACTGGGGTACAGGCCAGAGGTGTGGGGACTGAGAGGTTTCACCAGAGACAGAGTGGGGAGCAGAACAGGCAGACTGACTGAAATACACTGCTGAGGGAAGCAGCGGGTGAGTCAGGAGAGGTTTGCTGCACCATGTGGGTCACCTCCCTGGCCGGGGATTGAACTGCAGAGGCTGCAGAGGCAGATTGCTTCATAGTGCTGCATCTTAACCCCTTGAGCCAATAGGGAGGGAGGCCCCCAGTCTTGCATCCTCAACAGTCTGATTCTTCATCCCCTTTCCACTGGATTATTTAAGAGCAAATCTTGGGCAAAAAATCATTTATCTAAAAAAATACTTTAATATGTACCTATGAGATATGAGAACTCTTTTCTTTTTTTGCCTTAAAAGATAACAGCAGTACTATTATCACACCTAACAAATTAATAATTATTCCTATTTTCCTCTATATTAATTTTAGTCATAGTGACACGACTGTATATAATTGTTAAAATCCCCAAAACTGTACACTAGATGACAGTGGATAACAATTATTTTATAGTGAAAGATCTTTTGCGTTATGGCTTCTCACAGCACATTTACACGAATATTGGTCATGTGCTTCTTCTGTCCCTTTTAATGGATTTGACCTCCCTCTCTTTTTTTTTTCCTCATTTATTCATTGAAGAAATCAGATTATTTCTCTGGTAGCTTTTCACATTTTGGATTTTGCTGACAGCATTCCTATGGTATCACTTAATCTGGCCCCTACTCCCCATATGTCTTGTAAACAGGTAGGTAATTTGGCCACCTGGCCAGATTCAGCTGTGCAAGGCTAGTTGGTGAGCGGCACTGTCCAGGCTTGGGGACACAGAAGCTGTTAGCTTGGGGATGGGTGAGCGGGTGCTGCTGATTAGATGGGAGCGTGCAGGGGGAGCCCCGAACTCGGCAGTCCCGTGGAGTACGTGCTGTCTGGCTGGTAGCTGTCATAATGGCCTCAGGACCTGTGGGGTTTGTGGCAAGAGGATGGTGACAGACAGAGCAGGGGCTCTATCTGTTTGATCTACGGATTGGGCCATCATTCCTTCCCTCCCCACAGGGTGTGAAGGCTTATTCTAGGCCCTATGTCAGCTCTTGAAAAAGAGATGTGTCCCCAAACCCAATTTGCCACCCAGTTTCTGTTTCTGCTGAATCTTTTGCCAGAAACTGCTACCCTGCCACATCCTGGGCCAACTTGGCTCCTGCTGAAGTCTCAGGAGCTGTAAATCCCATTGACTTAGTGCAATTCCAGTTGCAGGTGACTGTGCTGGGCTCAACCGGATCAGGGAGGGAGTGAACAAGCTCCCTATCCCTGTCCCTTGGGCATAATTCACCTCCCTCCTCGCCACGCTGCCTGTCTGCCAGGGAGGGGTGGTGGTGACAAGTCTGAACAGGTCGGCTCTCTCCCCTTCCCGAGCAGGTTCGCGAGCTGACTGATGTGGAGTTCCCCAACTCCTTCCTGGTGTCCGGGAAGCAGCGCACCCTGGAGTTGCAAGCCCGGTAGGCAGCTGGGCACCAGGGAGGCGGGAAAACTGGGAGGGGCTCTCTCAACACCTGCGTTCACTTTCTGCACAGGTCCCAGGAGGAAATGATGTCCTGGATACAGGTATCAGAACATTCCAGGGCCCCTGGGATTCTGCCCCTAAGCCACCCAGGCTGCAGGGGAGAGAGGGGAGCACATGCTCCCCGCTGCTTTCTGCTCTTTCTCAGGAGTTACTCTGTGGGGTTGGAGTCAGCCCTGGGTTCAAATCTAGATGCTTCTCACTGTTTTGCAGGGTGGCCTGGGGCGAGTATCATCCCCAGTCTCAGTCCCAGTCACACCTGAAATCTGAGGCTAATAGCTTCCTCTCCTGTATGTCAGCCAGTGGCCCCCAGTGTCTGGCACCCAGTGGGCTTTCAGCAATGTTTGTTGCGCGTGTGGAAGGAGAGATGGATGAGTGAGTCCTTCCTGACGGCTCTCTACCCATCCCCACCCCAGGCCTGCCAGGCAGCCATTGACCAAATCGAGAAGCGGAACGAAACCTTCAAAGCTGCCATCCAGAGTCCCGAGGGAGACACTCAGGAGCTGGAGGTACAGGGGCCTCTGTGGCCCTCCAGCCTCAGGCACTGCTTGCTGCCTGTCCTTGCTCTACCAGACGAGCTTGGAGGCCAGGGGAGTGTCACCCACCAGGAGTGAAGGGACCAGTGGAAGCCCACTCACCCCAGCATCGCTCTTCTTACAGATCCAGTGCCAAAGGCTCCCCCATTAGCAAAAAAAAAAAAAAAAAATTCCTTTGGGAGCCTCTACACGCAACTATCTCAAAGCAGGATTATAAGTCTCTGAAGTGCTGGGTGTGGGGGGTGCAGGCCTGGGTGTGAAGGAAGGGAGAGTAGCTCTGACTTGATTCCAAATCTGAGCTTTGAACACTGGCTTGCTGGGTGTCTTTGCTGAGTCACTTGACCTCTCTGAGCCTCAGTTTTCTCACCTGTAGCATAGGAATAAGTAATTGACCCAACACACTGCCTATCCATTCAGTCAGCTTCACATGGAAGCCACAGGGAGGCACAATCACTGCCACAAGCAGGTGTGCAGGGCATTCCCCAGGCCTCTGAAGGGGGGCAGAAGAGGGTCCTGAGTGCCCGCCCTGCTGTTCAACAGCTGCAATCTGAGGAGCTGGGCCTCCGGGCGCCACAGTGGGTCCGGGACAAGATGGTGACCATGTGCATGCGCTGCCAGGAGCCCTTCAATGCCCTGAGGCGCCGACGCCACCACTGCCGGGCCTGCGGCTATGTGAGTACCCTGCCAGCACCCCTGCTGCCCGCTGTCCACCTTGACCTCTGCCTTCCCAAGCCACGCCCTGGTCTCCCCTCCTGTCCCCTACCCTCAGTGGGAGTAGCTGGGCCAGGCTGTGCCTGGCCACATTCGGACCTTGTAGTGCCCAGCTGTGAAGAGGGCCCACTTCATCTATTCTACACCTGGGGAAGTGGGCAAAAAGAGGATAAATGACTTGCTAAGACACTCCCCCAAGCTGACACCTTAATAGGTCACCTGCTTTTTTTTTTTTTTTTAAGATTTATTTATTTATACAAGAACTGGGGAAAAGGTCAGAGGCCCTGGAGGGTAAGAGAATTCACCAGAGACAGAGTGGGGAGCAGAACAGGTAGATGGACCAAAGACACTGCTGAGGGGAGCAGTGGGCGAGACAGGAGAGGTCTGCCACGCCATGTGGGAATCTCCCTGGCCAGCCGGGAATCGAACCCGCGCTGCAGAGGCTGCGGACAGCTTCACAGCTCTGCGCTCAACCTGCTGCACCACCAGGGAGGCCCAGGTCACCTACTATCTTATAACCAGTTCTCCAAACTCCCAGACCCAGAACCAGGAAATGGTCTTCTGTTCCAGAAGCATCCAAGCCCCCTCAGCCCCTCTCAGGCCTTGTACCCACCACCTCATCAGCACTTGCCTGTTAGGTACCCCTCCCCTCTCTCCCACATCCTATCTCTTCCTGACAACCTCAGCTAACTGTCCTCTCCTCTTCTTGCAAGTCCTCGCACCCCAGCTGCTGATCGGGTCTGTTGCTAACTACCGCCAAGTTCAGGCCTTGGTTTCCTCACCTATACAACAGGGATTAGAATACTTACCTTCAGGGTGCTAGTGAGGACTCAGGAAAAGAAGGTTCACTGCCCTCCCTCTTTCTCTTCCATCCCCCTCCTCAATCACTCAGAGGGCTCACCAGGAGGAGTGAGAGGCTGGCTGAGGAGACCATCCACTCCTCCCTCTTATCAACTCTGGCCACTATCAGAGGCAGATCTTGCTTTGCTTTTTAAGCACCTGCTGTCCTTACCCTGTTCTTTGTTGATATCACAACCCCCTCCATTTACTCTGCAAACAGAGAAGTCCTTTGTAACCTCAATCTTTAATGACCTCCGGGGGACAGGAGGAGACCAGCTGGGCAGGTTGGGGCCAGTCAGGGTGGGGTCCCCAAGATGTGTTAAACTGCCATCAGGACACAAAGTAAATTTCTAGGACTGGAACACACCTATGTTTAGTTGTAAGTGACGAGTTACATCCTAGAGCCAAATAGAAAGGATCTGGGATTAGCTTCTGTTCTTGGTGATTCACATCTGTAAGTGAGAGTTGAGTGGGTTCACATTTGTGACTCTCTAAGTAGTTCCTAAAATATTATTAAAATAATATAAGAGGGCCTCCCCGGTGGCACAATGGTTGAGCGCTGGGTTGTGCAGCCTCTGCAGCGCCGGCTGTTCGATTCCCGGCTGCTCCCCGGCCACCGGAGGAGGGTCCCACATGGCGCGCAGACCTCTCCTGCCACCCGCTGCTCCCCTCAGCAGTGTACTTCAGCCCTTCTGCCTGCTCTGCTCCCCGCTCTGGCTCTGGTTAATTCTCTCACCCTCCCGCGCTTCTGACTGTACCCAGTGCTTATATAAATAAATAAATAAATAAATAAATAAATAAATAAATCTTTTTAAAATAAATAAATAAAATAATATAATAAATACAGAGAGACATAAATAATAATAACAAGGCCATGTACCTGCCTTCCAGGTACAAATAAAATATTCCTGACAACTAAATTAAATGTGTAATCCCTGGATGAATTCTAAATGGGAGAACAAAAAAACCACACCTGGATAACAACAATATGGTTTTGATGTTTATTTAGTTTCTCGCATGCGATCTTGACATTGTGGGCAAGCAGGAGGGTGCTTTTGTTCTTAGGAGATATCGGGTATATTAAGGGCAAGATGTCGTGATGACTGTAACTTATACTCAAGTGGCTCAGGGAAAATAAAGGACAGAAATGGAAAGAGAAAGCTCATGTGGCAAAATGCTAATGACTGGTGAGTTTGGTGGAAAGGTATCATATGATGCTTTTGACTAGTCCTGTAGGTTTGAAATTTTTCAAAATAACACTTTTTTTAATTAAAAAAATGAAATACTCCCAAGATGGTGGAGGCCCCCAGTGTGGGGCTGCGTGAGGTACCCTTGTCCCAATTTGGGGGTTTCTCATGCCCTTATATACCTTTGTACTCTGTGAGTCATCCTTTCGGTGGTTTGGGTGCCCAGTTTCTGTCTCCTAGGCCTGCCAAACGGGAATCCTGGCAAGGGTGGGGCAGGCCCAGTCTCTTGCACCGAGTCCCTCCCAGGCTGTGTACTCTGCCAGGCACACAGATGAACCCCCTGGTGAATTGCCCTCCTCCTTCATCTCTATCTCTTGCCCCCCATTTCCACTCCCACATCCTGGATCCCTGACATCTGGTGTTCCTGGAAGGCACGTCCTACAGCGCCCCATGTTTCTCTCAAAATCTTCTCATGCTTCTTTCACCCAGGATCCCCAGCATGATCCACATTAACCTTCTTGGGGGCAACTCTGTGGTGGGCTGGGGGGCTCCACTCCATGGAGTGCACACAGCAGGTCTTCCCAGCAGAAACAGCCAGCCCCTCATTTTTACATTGTTCATTAGAACACTCTTGATTCTGTTTGAGTGGAATGCAAACTTTGCAATAAAGGTAAATTGGAGAATTTTAAAGAGCTGTCCTATTGACTGAAGGTCAGTTGCTGTCAGTTTGCTATATGCCCTGGGCAGTCACTGCCCCTGGGCTATCAGGAGAGGACAAGGGTCCAGAGCTGTTCACCTGACAGGTGGCTGGCAGAGCTAGGTGAGGAGGCAGAGGGAAGAGAGAATACTTGGAAAAGAAATTCAGATGTCAGGTGTGTGAGCAGGGGCAGGCCCCTGGGATCAACAGGTGCCTTCCCAAAAAGGGACTCTGAAGGGGAGAGAAATTGAGGCACTTGCAGTGGGGGGCTGATCACAAGACCCAGAGGTCGAGCTCACCCCCTGTACTGCACGGCCTCCTGGCAGCTGCGCCTCTGCCAGCACAGGGCTTCCCCTCCCTGCTTCCATTCTTCTCCCAAATATTGCTGCTGCTTCCTCTGGCCCTAGTTGTCACCTCCCTCACCAGACACAGACTCATTCCATCTGCCTCAGCTCCAGCCCAGCCCCTCCCGCCTCCCTTCCCTCAGGTGGTGTGTGGCAGGTGCTCCGACTACCGGGCTGAGCTCAAATATGATGACAACAGGCCCAACCGAGTCTGCCTCGACTGCTACACCTTCCTCACCGGAAATGTGCTCCCTGAGGACAAGGAGGACAAGAAACGGGGCATCTTGGAGGTGAGGGCCACACTTCCTCCATTCAGTAAATGAGGGGTACACTCGTAGGTGTCAAGGAACGGAGGGCATTGACCACACTTTCACTCCATCTCTCTATGCCACAACTCCCTCTCGGCCCCCCACCCTCCAACAGAGCTGGGCTTGTCACCAGTTGGAAGCCACCTCTGGCTCCAGATTGTCCTTCCACCCCACCCTCTGTGTCCCCATCCAGTAAAAGCACGGCCTCTCTAGATACTTCTGTTCACACCCTCTGTGCCCTGTTCCAACATCCCAGGGGTGTTGCTGATTCCATTTAACAGATGAGGAAATTGAGGCTACAGGTCAGGGTCCAATTTCTGGAAAGAGGCAGATCGAAGACTGCCAATTATTCTAGTTGGAAGGGACTTTGGGGACCAGTTGGCCTATCCCCGGTGCATAAACCACCCAGAGAAGCAACTTGCCAAGGACAACAGCTAGTTAGGACCAGTGCTCTGATCTGCACAGATGTTCTCTCTGCTGTCCTTGGGGTCCTGCTGAACAACCCCCACTCCCCAGATCTCCCCAGGTGCTCTTCCTTACTGAGCAGCACTCATGGGGCACTAGCTGTACTCAGAGCTGCAAAGAAAATACAGTGTTACCCACCCAGTCTCTGTTGCCCCTCCCTTGTTAAAATCAGGTCAACATCCCACAGACCCTGGGAGGTGGTTGAACTCAGCTCCTAGGTTCAAGTTCGTTCCTTCCCACTAACATATGCCTGCTTTCCAATCCTCCCCATTCTTCAAGGCCCAGCGCCTCCCCACCATCACGCCTTCCCTGATCACTAGACCCACACAGCCTGTGCCTGGAGAGAGGGTCTGGGCTCCCTTTCAGGCTGCAGTTCTGTTTCCTGCAGCAACTGACAAGTTATAACCTCCCAGCATCTGCCCCAAGTTCAGGCTGACTGGGTTTGACTATGGCTCTGCCACTGCCCAGCTGTGTGACCAGAGGCCCGTGGTAGGGCCTCTCTGAGCCTCTGGGACAAATAACCTTCCCTTGCAGGTTGCTGCAAGGATTACAAGTGGCGATAGTTAAGCCCCCAGATAGTGTCTGTCATATAAGAGGTACTCTGTTTTCTGACTGTCCCTCTCTCTCGCTTTAGAAGGGGTCCGCAGCAGGGTCCGAGCAGAACCTAATGTGCAGCTTCCTGCAGCTGGTCGGGGACAAGTGGGGCAAGAGCGGCCCCCGGGGCTGGTGTGTGATCCCCCGGGACGACCCCCTTGTGCTCTACATCTATGCTGCCCCTCAGGTATGCCCACCTGTCCAGGCCTCGGCCTCTCACAGTATGTGGGGGGGAGTATTGTTGGACCCATGTGTCAGATGGGGAAACTGAGGCCCAATGAGGAAAGGGTTCCCTTGAGTCACAGTGTTAGTGGCTTGCAGCACTGGGTCCAGATTCCAGGTCACAACTGCTTTGCCTTTAGGAGGTGGCCAGTCCTCTCCTTTGATGGTACCTGCCAGTCTAGCCCTCTTTGTGGGTATTTGGGGAGCAAGTTCGGGTGCATGACTGTTACCTTCAAAATGACTGTTTGAGGTAGTGGGACAGAACATGGTGGACAGTGGCCACTCTTCTCTCCTCCCTTTCCAGGACATGCGGGCTCACACCTCCATCCCCCTGCTGGGGTACCAGGTGATCGCTGGGTCCCAGGCCGACCCCCGGGTCTTCCAGCTACAACAGTCAGGCCAGCTCTACACCTTCAAGGCAGAAACCGAAGAGCTGAGGGGCCGCTGGGTGAAGGCCATGGAGCGGGCAGCCAGCGGCCGGAGCCCTGGGGAGCCCAACAGCGGGGACCTGTCTGACTGAGCCACAACTGGCCACTCTCCCCTCCGAGCCCAATTCCTGCCACGGGTTGATCCTGTGGCCTCTGTAACCCACCACCCCAAGCTGAGCTTTCAAGTAATTGATGTCCAGTCATCTCTGCCCAGACCCCGTGTCCTGATTTGGTTTTCAGAAAATATGTTCTTTTGGAGAGGGGGTGACCCTCTCCAAAACCAGAGGGTGATTTGCCCTGGTTTGCCCGGGGGGGCGGGGGTGGTTCCTGGGACCCGGGACTTCCAGTGCTAAAAGCAGGAAAGTCCCAGATAACCAGGAACCATTGGTTCTCAGCCTGAACTGTACATCAGCATCACCTGGGAAACTTTCAAAAAATGCCAGTGAAAAGATAAATGTGAGAATAAATTAAAATTTACAAACACCAAAAATGCATGTGTCAGTCACAAAACACCCTGACCTCACTGGTCTGGCATCAGGAGGCATAAGTTTTATGTGCAGCCTGGGTTTCCCGGGATGACAAAGAAATTACGGCCTGTCAGGCTGAGCACCTATCAAGTGCCAGCCGTGGCAGTGGTGATAACTACAAACAATAAAAGTCCTTGGGCCAGGCCCTGAATGAGGTGTTTAACATAGATGATCTCATTTTACTTTTAGGAGTTACAATGCCCTTTTTCCAGGTGCGGGCACTGAGTCTTTGAGAGGTTTAGTCATTGCCTCAAGGTCACACAGCTGGTGGATGCCAGCCCAGGTTTTAAGCGAGTGGAATAAAGTCAGAGCTCCTTCCATATGTAGCAGAGCAATAGCAGACAGGGGGTAAGAACAGGAGAGAAAAGGCAGGGAATCAGTGGAACAAAGGGGAGAAGACAGAGGGGAAATGTGAGGAGAAAAGGGCAGCACAGAGGCACCTGCACGGGCTCCCTGCTGGGGTGAGGCTGCTTTTTCATAAAGGACCACCAGGTGGTGGTGGTGGCTGCCTCCAGGGGCCCAGACTTGGCCCTGATACCTTTCGGTTTCCATTGAGCGCTGCCAGTGCTGGCTCTGCTTTTGAAGAAGGCAAAACAGACAAGTCATCTATCTATGTTCTTTCCAGGTTCAGCAGATTGCCTGCCCCCACTGAGGCCACCTGTAGAGGCTGGACAGGACACAGTGCAGGTTTTCTGATCCCATGCAGACTGGATAAAGGAGGAGTCAGAGTCCTCAGTGGTTTTTGCAGGTTTTTTATTGGGGTTCAGCGGGTACATGGCAGGCAGGGGTGCTGGGGAGCTGGGAGGCTGGCAGTCCTCCCAGCCCCCAGCAAATCTTCACTCTATCTGGGCTCTCTGGCGTTCTCTGCTTCTGCTTCGGGCTTCTTCTCTTTCGGCTTCTCTTGGTGTCCCCGTGACACCACCCTTAAAAAGCACAGTCTTCGCGCAGATGTACCCACTTCAGGTGCCCGCCATCAGGCATGCATTCAGGATCACAGGGTTCCCTCACCTATCCTGATGGCGGGAGGGCAGAAAAGCCTGATTTTTTACCTTACCCTACAGTCCACCCCCTCAGGGTTTTCTGCCATATAATCCACACATACACAACTTTGTTTCTTGGCAAACACAAACAATGCAGCCATGGCCCACAAAAGCAAATACATCGCAATATAACAAAATACAACAGAACACAAATAAGTCCAGGCAGGGCCCCAACCTAGTGCAAAAGACAATTATTGGTACCAGCAGATGAGCCACCAAATCTGCTGACGAAGGCAATGCTCATACGAGGGAGGGGAATCACTCACGGCATCTGCTGTAACACACCAGGAGCCGTCGGGCTTCCTGGCCTTTTCTGGCTGTAGTCTCGGCTACAAGCCACACACAGCATCCACCCCCAGGATGCACTCGCTCTGGGATTAGCGATTCTATTCTGTTGGGGGTAATCGCCAACCCTCAGGGTTTCTGTCTGCAGTTGCTCCAACACTCGGCCTTCATAGCCACCAATGTGACTCGCAGACCCCTGCACTCAGGCCAACCCACTACACAGCACATGGGTCGGGGATCCAAACTCTACATGCGGCTTGGGCTCCACCCCAAGCCACGTTCCCCGCCCGTCCCCCAAGGACGGGTTCCTCAGCTCCTCACCCTCACCCAACAATGAGCAGGGCATCACCCACAGGTGATTTTACGAGACTCACAGGGCTTCAGCATACTCAGGCTGCTTACCAGCCACTCAGGGCTTCCCAAACTTAGCATTAGCACCAGCTTTTGCCTTCTCAGTTGGCTTTTCTCCTCTGCCTGGCTGCTGGGCATGCACAGGCTGCTTTTGGCCATCAAGGCCCACTGGCCACCCCCAGATTCCCATCTCCTGGGGTTTACAAACAAAACTGTTCCACCCGCAGGGTCCCAAAACATATCAACCTGCAAGGTCCTCCGCCTTCTGGCAGGACTGTCAGTCCAAGTTCATCAGTCCATGTCCATCAGTCGAAGTCCGTTGGCCTCTCCCTGAATCAGCACTGGCGAGCTCTGAATCGTGCTCCTCTCCTCCCCGACGATTCTGCTGCCTCGGGGGTCGTTGGCTGGTTCTCTCGGGCATCTCCTCCTCCTCCTCCGGGCGAGGTCTTATCCCATACCTCCCGGACTGTGTCCACTTTCTGTGCCGCCATGGAGCCTCCAGCGTCGTCACAGGCACACAGAGTCTGCTACTCCTTAGTCCCTCCAGGTCTTCAGTGGGCTCCAATACCCGTCTACATGGATCATCTTGCCGACTTACGCCAATTGTAGAAGCTGGACAGGACACAGTGCAGGTTTTCTGATCCCATGCAGACTGGATAAAGGAGGAGTCAGAGTCCTCAGTGGCTTTTGCAGGTTTTTTATTGGGGTTCATCAGGCATACGGCAGGCAGGGGTGCTGGGGGGCCGGGAGGCTGGCAGGCCTCCCAGCCCCCAGCAAATCTTCACTCTATCTGGGCTCTCCGGCCTTCTCTCTCTCTCTCTCTCTCTCTCTCTCTCTCTCTCTCTCTCTCTCTCTTTCTCTCTCTCTCTCTCTCTCTCTCTACTTCTCTCTCGGCTTCTCCTCGGATTCTGCTGCTTCCACTGGCATCCCCGTGATGCCACCCTTAAAAGCACAGTCTTAGCGCCGGTGTACCCACTTCAGGTGCCCGCCATCAGGCATGCATTCAGGGCCACAGGGTTCCCTCATCTATCCTGATAGTGGGAGGGCAGAAAAGCCTGATACCTTTTACCTTACCCTACACCACCCCTCTCTGGTAGGGTGCTTTCAGAATCTAAGAAAATCTCATTGGCACATCTCTCTGGGGACTAGGATGACCCTGAGTTCATTCCTTCATTCATCCCTTCATCCCTTCGCTCAATTGTTGAGCATCTTCTATGTTTCTATCAGCAAATGCGATTCCTATGCCGGGGATACAGCAGTCAAAGAGACTGACAAAAGTTTCTGCCTTTGTGGAGTTCATATCCTAATAGAGGCGGGGGAAGATATTAAACAAAATAAGTATGTAAAATATAGCATATAAAGTGCAATGAGGGCCTCCCTGGTAGCCTAGGGTTTATGGTTCAATGCTATCACCACTGGGACCTGAACTCGATCTCGGACCAGGGAGCTACCCACATGGCGCAGCAGACCTTTCCTGTCTTGCCCACTGCTCCGCTCAGCAGTGTATTTCAGTCAGTCTGCCTGTTCTGCTCCCCACTCTGTCTCTGGTGAATCCTCTCACCCCCAGCACCTCTAGCCCACACCCCATTTCTTCTACACAAAAAATAATGTGATAAGTGCTTCAACAGGAGGGCAGATCATCCCAGACAGTCCTAGTTTTTTAAAAAAAGTTTCAAGTCCCAGGAAACCCCTCCTTTGCAGGCAAACCAGAATGGTGGGTGGAGGTAGGGGAAGAAAAGAGAGCAGAAAGTGAGCATAGGGAGGCTGAGGTGTGTGTGTGTGTGTGTGTGTGTGTGTGTGTGTGTGTGTGTGGTGTGTCCATTTTTAAAAGGAAAATCAAAGAAGGCCTCACTGAGTATGAAGATTCCTCAAAAAATTAAAAACAATACTTCCATATGATTCAGTAATACTGCTTCTGGGTATTTACCCCCAAAATATGAAAACAGTAACTCAAAGAGCCATGCCCTGCTATGTTCATTGCAGCACTATTCACAAAAGCCAAGTTATGGAAATAGTCCTACCACCCAATCATGGATGAATGCATAAAGAAGATGTGATACACACACACACACACACACACACACACACACACACACACACACACACACACGGGGGGAATACTATTCAGCCATAAAAAAGATATCTTGCCATTTTTGACAATATGAACGGAACTGGAGGGGATTATGCTAAGTGAAATAAATCAGAAGAACAAAAAGAAATGCCATATGATTTCACTCATTTGCCAAGTATAAAGAAAAAAAGCACATGAACAAATAAAACAAATACAAACCTTTATTCTGACAACAGAATGGTGTTTACCAGAAGGAAAAGAACGGGACGGAGTAAGTAAAGAGGGCCATTGGTTGGCGGTGGATGGCGACTGGACATTTGTTGGTGGGTGTGGTGTGATATATACAGTTGAGGTGAAAAACTATGCTAGAGCTGTAAACTAATGTCCCCTCAGTAAAAAATATATATGCATATATGTATAGTATATGTATATAAAGGAAAGCCTCATTGAGAAGTCAATGTTTGAAAATCACCTTCAAGGGACGAAGTAAGGAAGGGAGCTGTGAAGCTGTCTAGGGGAAGGGCATTCAGGTGTAAAGTTCCTGATGCGGGGCCTGTGTGGTGCATGTGGACAACAGTGAGGTGTCAGTGCAGCCGCAGCTGAGTCGCTGCAGGGAATCAGATGCCATCAAAGGGCAGAGTCGGGGGACCATATGTGGAGGCCCAAGGAAGGCTGAGAATGTTGGGTGTCTTTGGGGTGGGGGTGTCTGAATTAGTTTTAAAGGGGAGGAGGAGCTCCCTCCTGCTGCTTGTTGAATAGACTGAAGGGGTTACATAGGGACCAGGTAGTGAAGGTGGTGAGAAGGGACTGGTTCTGGATTTATTTGAAGGTAGAGGGGATGGAATTCCCTTTCAGTGAAAGCTGTCAGAGAGAAGGAGCCAAAGGCGACACAAGGCCTCTGAACTAAGAACATGGAGGTCACTGTTGTTTGCATGCACCAGGCTGCATCCCACCTCAGGACCTTTGCACTTTCTGTTAACTGACCCTACGGAGATGAGAAGATGGTGGAAGGGACAGGTTGGAGAACAGCAACACACCAGGAGTTATGACATGGACAAGCTACAGCTGAGGGGCCCACTCATGGTCAGATCCAGCTCTCGGGGTCACCACCGTGCTTGTGGTCTGTGGACTAAATGTCATCAATTGATAGATGACTGTGCAGTAGTAACGCATGGTGCTGAAAAAAATCCAAATCCCACAAAAGC